AAGTTGTTGACTATTAAAATCGCTCAAAATAAGCAACATAATTAGAAATTTCGCATTGGTAAGGTGTGAACAAGCCTTAAGAGCGAAAATTAACAATTAACAAAAATCTGTAATGAAACTTGTTCCGCTTCCAGCAGCCGGATGTAATACGATTTTATTGTTTTCTTACGTTATTGCGGAAGTGTATTTATGGATCACGAAACAAAATGCCTACGATTCAAAAAATAAATCCACCGGGAAAAAACTTCCCAAAAGTTATTCTAAACTAGCTAACTCTGATTTCACAATAACAATCATTATTACTGCATCTGAAAAATTTCCACTACTGCTGTCATTAAACACGCGAAGATTTCATGCATTAGCTAACTTTTACGACTATTAACAAACCTGACTAATTAAAAACCGAAAACAGGTTAAATTTCTTGGAAAACTCATAAAATCGTAGTTTGCAATGCGATCTTGCTGCGAATTCGTGGCAAAGGTGAAGGTTTCTTTACTGTGCGTACATACAACCAAAGAATCGACGATCTCGTAAAATCTAGTATGGTCAATAAATTGACACCAATATAGATTCGATTTAATAAAAGCAATAAGAAGTCCACGCGACGATAATAAAATTCCGCTCTTAATACAATTACTGTCTGGGTTCTTTTTTTTCCTGTTGTGAACCACAATTAAGTAAAGTATGTTAATTGTGCGAACTGAGCAAGTTTTTATTGTATTTATTAATAAATTAAATCGGGTCCACATCCGGAAATTAAAACTAATCTATTCGAATCAAACGAAATCAGTGAAAATGATTTGATTTAAATACATATTTATTTATCCAATGAAAATATTAACCTTCACTTGTAAGCACTTTGTGTACACAGACTTCACTAGCTTTTCTTTGTCAAGTCGGCATAAATTGGTTTCAAATAATTATTTTTTTCAAGGTAAACAGTTTATTCTTTTGTACCTTCTAGTCTAAAATTACCAGATCACGACATTATGTAATTATAGTTACACAGTTAAAATAAACGGTGGTACAAACTTCGTTTTAACAAAATTTAGTTTCTGGATGAGGGTCACAGTCAGCCAAATAATCACACACTACACAGGAAATAATATTTTAGATAATTGGTGCTTAAATTTTAATAACAATGTTGTTAATATGTCGTAACACGTCTTAAAAAAGTAAAATTAACGATATCAAATACCACTGTTTTAAATTTGTTCAAATTCCTGTTGAATGACTACTCGATCTAATAATTTCCTATTTCGAAACATATAATTATCGAAAAACAAACATTCTGTACAGTTCATTGTATAACCTTGGAAAAAAATTTGGTAATATGGGATTCCCGAAAAAATTAAACAATGATCAAACTTCAGACTATAATAACATTGTGGTTATTATATTGCAATTGTTTTTTTGAAAATCAACGATAAAGCAACCTAACAAAATATCAAGATAGTTAGAATCTAGACTTTAGAACACTTTCTTCTAGTGACAAATTCAGGATAAATAGTCTTTCTGTTATTTTACACTAAAACAATATCGTTATTATTAATATTATATTTTTTTTGAAAAACTATTTCATATTTTGTAACGTGTATTTGGTCTTCATTTCGAGATAAGACAGTGAACCTAAAAAAATATAAAAACAGTTTTTAGCTATGTTAACAAATTAAATGAAACTTCAAAATGTGTTTTTTAAAATCAAAATTTTTGAAAATGCCATCAATTTAAGGAATGTTTTTATCCTCACATTTGAAGAAGTATAAATTCATTATCTGCGGTGAGTCGACGTAAGTTTATCATAATTATCAAAATCTAGTCCCTTTTTCATGAGCATTTGAACATAATAAATCTACAGAAGACGTATACAAAGAAATTCATGAAGGAAGTTTCCAGTTAACGAATTTCTTTTATGAGAAGTTTTTTCTTTCCTTTTTTTGTTATATTTATCCATTATTATTGTCTTATTTTCTTATTAATCTACTAATTTCTGAATGTTTAATTTATATTTCAACACATTTGCCTATCTACAGTATGTCCCCGGATTGAGTTTACAATAGGGTTTTTTTATTGTACAGGAAATATTTCACCTACAAAATTTTTTAAACAATGCAATTTTTTTTCAAATATATAATTTTTTTTTTGATAATTAAAAAAAAACTGTACATTTGGAATATCGTGTAGATGGTAAAACGCTACAAAATTTGTCTAATCATTCCCACAACAACTTGAGGACGTGATCCCAAAATTTTGCTGAGTACATGCCACATAAATTTTATGAAAAAATATACTCCCGTATTTGTGGTTTATGATTTTGCCTTGATTTTATTTATTATTATAATTTGTATTATTCAGTATTTCTCATAGTAATAGTGTTTTGTAAATACATAATACCAACCGAATATAGGCTATGACTCAGTGAAAAGCAAGTTCGATCTGTGATATCCTCTTTTTTTTTTCTTACACTGTGACTGATTTTACTTATGCCTTAGCAATCTATACATATTTCTACTTTAAATTATAAGGGTTATTTAAATTTTATAAATTTTCGAAGAACCTGAAATTGCCGGACTGTACTTCAAACGGTGTAAACAGCCTTGGACCATTTTTTTTTTGTACTAAGAACATTTCGTTTTTCTTTAATTAATCTCCGCTTCCTGTTCTGAGTTTACGGTTTCTTGGAAAAATGTGTTTGTGTAAAACCTAGTCCTGGATAGCAGAACAGTCGTTAACGATTTGTTGTTTTCTTTGATATTTCGATGTTGTGGTGAGTCACACCTGATTTAGAATTGTTTATACAGAATTATTCAAAATAATTTATGTATGAGGCTATTTATTCTACTGATTAAGTGAAGAGTGGTTCTTCATAGAATTTTGAGGACGTCAATACAAAATTTTGTATTTGAAAAAATCGCCTGAAACAAGTGGATACTACACTCATATCTTTATTTTAACTTACAGGGGTTATCACAAAAAAATTAAATGTTCACAATCAAATTTTATAATTTTCGAAAATTTGTGTTCCTCTTGTAAACTCAATCACATATTTACATACATATAGTATAATTATTATGTATATAATTATTACAGATACAACAAAAGTCAACACCAAAGTTAATTAGTTTTTTAGAGACTATACTTTAAAATTATTTCTAATTGTACAGAGTGTTTTGTTTTTAAGGAGTAACATACAAATTAGTTTTTTTTTTAATGAAACACCCTATAGATTTTTACATATTTTGTGTAATTTCTTCGCAGGCTTTATTGCCACAGTTTATTTTTGAAATTCCGATCGGACGTTGCCACAGATCTCAATTTTCTAGAAATATCTAGAATTGGGAGGATTCACAAAAAATTGGAGTAGGGTAATTTTTAAAATTTGTATTCCCAATATTTTATGGAGAGATAAATAAAGGTATGCGCTTTGTTGTGGTATAAATAAAATACAATTTTCATATACAGAGTGTTTATAAAAAAATATATGTATTATAATTTTCAAATATCGATATTTCAGTTTTTTCAAATAGAACACCCTGTATTTTTTTACTGCATTTTACGCAATTTTTGTTGTCTTTTTTGTTAAGTATTTTGTTAACTTGATACTGCGAACTAATATATTTATATATATTAAGATATTTTGAAAAGTTTTTGATATTTTTATAAACATTCTCTACAATATTTAGGGTGTTTCATTTAAAATAGTAAGTTGTGTGTTGTCTTGAAAACAGAACACTCTGTATAGTTAAAAATTATTTTAGAGTGTAATCGTCAAACAACTTTACAACTTTCGTATGACTTTTTTTCTGTTTCTAATAATAATTAATGAGATATCGAGGACTGTGACACCCTGTATAATCACTGAATGGACACTTTGTTTTTTTTTAATGTGGTACAAACTGGAATTATCGAAACTTATTGGAACTATTTGGAATTCACTACAATTTCTATCGAATTCATCTGAACCACTTTAGAATTAACCGAAATGTTTTCAAAAACCACTGGAATTACATTAAAAGGACTATTTACCAAGAAATTTTAAATTTTGCAAGAACTACTCCCTCTTAAATATATTATAATAAAATGTTACAAAATTTTGAGTTTTTAGCGAAAATCTAGACGCCTAGGGTAAAACTCCAGGCAGATTCATAAACTACAAGTACAACAATTTGTTATTTTATAAAATTTTAATATCATTTACCATACAAAAGTTTGAGATAACGTCATGAAATTGTTGATGAAAATGATCGCAAATTTTCTAAAATTTGACAATTCGTTCGGTAGTATCGGAGATTATCTGTCCAATAAAAATCGACACAGACCGATGACAGACGGAAACGGGAGACCTGCTTTTTCATAATCTAGGGGTCATCCAAAGTCGTGAAAACATGAAAATAAAAAAAGTTGGCAAAATCATATGGCATTTTGTTGAACAATTCGTCGCATAATTTTCGTATTTCGAAATTCTTTTTCCTGACATTGCATCTCAAGATCTATTAGCCAAAATATTCTAAAATATGTTCGGAATTCTCTTCTTGAACTATTCCTAAGAAAGGTCGGTAATTTTTTTTCAAGAGTTCTACCAATTACATCGTTTTTTGAATCGTCACTATCAAAGCGTCTCATATATTTAACCCACTTTACAAATTTTATAGTTTTTAGTATCACAAAAATGAAAAAAAAACGGCGCCATTAAATGCATATTTTATGGTAATTTAATGACATTTTTTAATTGATAGATAACAACTAATTCGAAGTTATTAACATTTTTTAAATTAAAATTCGTAAAACTATTTTAAAAACGAAAACGCTGTGAAAAACCTTGAAAAAGTCAAAATTACTTAATACACCTGGAATTCCTATAAATTTCTTGATTAAACGGAATTTCTGGAATTCTTTTAAACCGAAACGATATTGTCCACACCACCAATTACCGCACGCACTACCTCGAAATTTAGCTGCCGAACCCCCTTCTTCCAGTTCATTCCTCCACCACCTCGAACCCTCTTCCCACGAGTCACCGCCGCCGCTCCTAGCCATTTGTTGATACCGACACGAACCTTCCATCCAATCATCAGTCGATTTCGCGGCAGCTCCGCGTGAACTTGTCCCAATCAACGCAAGTTCAAAATAAAACCCAAGTGCCGGCTAGTGCATCAACTGAAATGTTGCCGAATCGACCGACCAACAATGGCCAATGACACTCTGTCTTCCTACATAGGAAGCGGCTTCTGGGTGACGGTGTTCTGCATAATCATCTTCTTCGCCGTGGTGGGCAACGTCTTGACCCTCCTGGCCATAATAGCCAGCAGACAGTTGTCGTCGATGATATCCAACCAGTTCATCTTCAGCCTGGCCATCAGTGATCTCTTGGTGGGCCTCTCCGTGCCCTACCACATGTGTTTCTACCTAGTGCACAGCTTCGGCGAAAGCAAAGACAGGTGTTTGCTGCGTTTCGTGCTGATTTCGTTCGGGTGCTCCAGCTCGATTTTGAACCTTTTCGTGGTGGCTACGGATAGGTACTCCGCTGTGGTCCACCCTTTGCGCTACAACAGGTGTATGACGAGAGGGACTTCCCTCTTTCTTGCCTCTTTAGTGTGGATATTCTCGCTTAGTTTGTCGACTGTACTCATCTACTGGAACTCGTGGAACAAGGAAACTTGCGACGTTAATATTATCCCTAGCGTGTATTTCACCTTCGTTTTAACCCCTCTGTTTATCCTAATATGGGGGATCATGCTCCTCATCTACATCAAAATCTGGAGAGAGGCCTCCAGACACGCGAAAAGAATCAGAAGTGCCACAAATTTACACAACTCTAACAGTATTAACGACACTAAGTCCATACAGGTAATAATGCGTGTTTTAGTACAACATTATGATTATGACATTCTCAATGCGGTTTGCTTATCAGTGGTTTTATTTACATCATAGGCAATTTCTGACAGAGGACGGCGGCCTTCGTCAAGTTGAAGGTTCCTTTTTTATATAACCGTGTAGGTAATTTCGCTTACGTCACTACAACGATTATTAAAAATCTCACTCGAAACAAAGAAACAAAGCGAAAATAGTGGCTTAATTTTAGACCTTTCGGCTTAATAAAATACTACACTAGTAAATATTTGGGGCGTGCTTAAAAATGAAAACCTCGATGTATTTATGCGAATCGAATACTTAGCCAGAACGTTATAAAAACCCAGAATTATTTTCCTATAAATGTTCACAATTGAAACGATTTTGTTTAAATTGTGTAAAGCGTGTTATTTCAATAATAAAAACAAGATAATCGTTTCCAATAAAAGGAAATTAACGGTTACACTTTTACTACTACTTTTCAATTCGTGACAAGTGTTTATTTTAACAGTAGATTGTTTTCAGCTAGAAAACCATCTGCAAAAATTTAAAAATTCTATTAAGTGACACTTCTTTGGTTTAATTTTTACTTAAAAGACATCAGATTTGTAATAAATTAAATACTGCTTAAATATAGAGCTTTTTATACTTATAATACAAATTTGATCAATGAATTTTAAAAATGAAAATTAGGATATGCAACCAACTTTACATTTACATCTTTATTTGCCATTTGTTAGGCACAAAATTGTTAAAAATGGTTGAATTTCTTAATCACAAAGAGGCATTAGCTGAGTTGTATCATCTCACGAGTGGATAATAATGCATTGACGCATGTGTTACGTGTAACGTACCAAATTTTATCTACGACGTCAGAATTTGTCTAAAATCTATAAAAAAAAAAAGAAAAACTAGTGTAACTGATTTCGCAACTCAAATAAACAAATAACTAAAATTTATCCCACTGTGTTGTCAAAAATTAGTTTTTACATTTAAAATAGAGAAAATATTAAAAACGTGTCACTTCTGGCATCGTTCTTACAGAAATAATTTTCTGTATTATTGGCGTTCCGTAAAAACACAGTTTGTCGTTTCCTTTCCAAAAATTGATGACGTCACTTTGATTTTTAAAACGATACAATTTTACTATTTGTCTCAGAAATTTGCAATGAATAAAATGAAAACACTGAGTCAATTCGCTAACATACTAGTGTACTTATTGTTTATGAATCCGCCTTGAAATTTTCCAAATTTTTGCAAAAAAAATCGAAATACTACAGGAACCTTTTATACCACAGAGGGCACAGGGCTTTTTATTTATTACACTGTTACTACTATTATCTATATTTTTTATTAATTAAATTTCAAGTGTTTTATTTTAGTATGTCAATTCCGAAATTGCACGTGTCGGAATTGACATACTCGTCCTAGATGAAATAATGTTGATCGAAACTTTTTCAAACGGGACAACTCACTAGAAATACAGGCATATCTTTGCCTTTTATCAATGCAATTTTGGAACAATTGGTAATCCGTTTGCCAACACGGGTGGAGAACAAAAGCACTCCAGACCAAATATAAACAATTTAACACAGTGTTTTTTGGTAACATAATGCGTTCGAATCGTAGACAGTGGCGGAGTATGGGTGATTAAATTATGATACATTAATGAATTCAGAAAAACAAACCCCACAAGAATCTCTAAAAAAATATGTATGGTTTAAACCAACAAGTTCTCCTCAAACATAATCACGCCATTCCAAAAATTTATTGAACAAATCTTTTGTGAAAAATACGTACTGTCTATAGGAATAGAAACTCAGTTAAAAAATTGAATTTTTTTAAATACTCGAAATACAGGAAAAATGTATACATTTTGTTTCATTTTTACTTTCCAAGCACACGCTAATTACATATTTTTTCAACGTTTTATTTCTCTATGGAAGTGAGGGAAAATGTCACGACCTGAGCGACATTAGAACCCAATATTGTGGTGCCACGGCTCCTAGAATTTGAAAAAGTAGGTCCCTCGTTGCCTCCAATATACCATCTATTATTTACGATTTTACTAAATAAAAAATCACCGAAACTGCATGATAGATTGTTGTGAAATTTTAGATACACTTTGAGAATATTGTGTAGACAGTAAAATGCTAATCCAAAACTGTCTGTTCATATCCACCAAAAATGTGATAACGTCATTGCAATATTTTGCTAAGCAAATTGTATCTAAAATGTAGAAAATAATATGCTTTTACTTTTACAAATTATGAATCCAGTTAATTTCACTTGAAACATATGCATAACATTCTAGTCATCAAAAGTACAATCAAACAAATTTAACATGGGTTTTTGCGAAAATATGGATACCAAGAGTACAAATTTAAGGCGGATTCAGAAACCACAATTAAAAGAGTATATTCTTTTATAAAATTTAAATAGTATTTACCATGCTAGATTCTGAGGTGACGTCATCAAAAATTTAAAAATCTTAAAATTCAAATACCGAAAAATTGAAAAATCCCATAGTTCAAATATTGAAAAATTGATTCATAAATCGATAAATCAAAAATTGAAGAAAAATTTTATCGAAAAACTGAAAAATCCTAAAACTGAAACATCGAAAAACTCAGGAATCGAAAAGTCAAAAAATCGAAAAATTGAAAAATCAAAAAGCTGTACGATTTACCAAGCTTCCCATAACCTTAAAACATTTGCAAGATTTCAAAAAATTCGATTTTGTAATTAAATTGTAAATATAATTTTTCCGAAAATCTGAATTCTTAAATAACATTTACTATTGTAAAATTTGGAGATGACGTCATGCCACTGTTGATGGGGATGATTAGACAAACTCTGATTACCATCTACATGACACTCCTAACATATATACAAAATTTGACAACAGTGGGTTAGGTAATTTCGGAAATTATCTGTCTAATAAAAATCGACTCAGACCGACAGATTGAAACGGAAGACCTATTTCTTCGTACTCTAAGGGTCATGAAACGTCGAGAAGTATCCATTCGCCCGGATCCTATTGCAATATTTCCTTAGTTCATGCTTGGGAAGTAAAAAAAAAAACACTCGGTAAGCATGAACCGCATGGAAAGTATTGGACAAAAAAATTCTAAAATAATTGTGATAAAAATCAAGGCAGAGTCATAAATCACGAATACAACAGTAAATTATTTTATAAAAATTAAATACCCATTACTACACACGCGAGACCTACTTTTAATACTCTAGGCGTCATGAAAATTAAATTGAAAAAGTAAGAGTAGAAACTTAAAGCGGATTCAGAAACCACAAGTAAGAGTATATTGTTTTATAAAATTTAAATAGCATTTACCATGCAATTTTGAGGTGACGTCATCAAAATGTTGGTGGGGATGATTAGACAAATTTGGTTAAAAATTGGCAGCAATCGATAAACGATAGACAGACTGAAACGGAGGACCTATTTTGTCATATTCTAGGGGTCATGAAATGTCGAGAAAATATGAAAGAAGCCCTCACTGTAAATTATTAAAACATATCTGATAACGGAACAAAAATCTGCACAAAAAAATTCTATTTATTTAATAGTCAAATTTGAAATACTTGGACGACAACGAACACTTCAATAAAATTTTGAATACAGATTAGAACAAATAATTTTGTTGAAATGTTTAATGTTACTGTTTGACATTTATATTGCAGCTGTCAGCATGGAACTGGTAATACATATTATTCATTAAAGAAATTTATAAAAAATACATTTATTTGATAAATTGGTATATTGTTCCAAAATTTCTGCCCGTTCTTACAAAACCCAACATAAAACAACTGAAAAAGGTAATTAAAAAAACGCGTCTCATGCTTTAAAGCAATTTAAACAAATTGTTTTTTATTCACTAACATTTCTAAAAATTTCACAGCCAATAGTTCCAAAGTTCGGACACTATTTGACTCATAAATAAAATCGTCAATAGACAGACGACGGATTATCGATGACAGACAGACGGAAACGGGAAACATTTTCGCATTCGACAAGCCATAAAAATCAAGAAACACGAAATTAAACATTCCTGAAACTCGCGATGCTTTCTTTGTTTGTATCCAGACATATATTATTAGAATTCAGATATGTTCGAACAGTCGACAGCTATTTAAAAACCAACCAAACACAGCATAAATCAAGCATGTATCGGACAACAGCCAGTAAATAAAATAACCCAACCCGAAGCATTTATTTTCAGTAACTTTATCAAGCTTCGGTACATTTTCGATAAAGCCTGACGCAGATACACCTTGCAGTTCGGATCCGCCCACCCTTCGGCAACTGACACGATGACACGTTATAAAACAAACCATAAATAAACACAGATCCTCCATGCTTAATCACTGCCAGTTAGAAACCCGACATAAGGTACTCAATTATCAACACATCGTTGTCAATGTTGAGTATACAAACGCCACAATTAATCGCTAATTAAATTACTCCAAACAGACGCGACCGAGGAATCAAAATAGCTAGAACGAATCGCGATATTGCTGTCTGGAAGGTCGTCAGTCTTGTGAACAAATTTCCTGATGAACACAAGAACATTTAATTGACGACCTAATTAGGAAAGGATTTACTGCCTGAGTCCTATCGAGACCTAATGAGTTTTCTAATCAAACAAATTACCCACGGCGAGCAAAACACAAACCTGAACACGTGTTCTGTAAATCCACACTTCGGGTGTTCTTTGTGGAGTTGGTTGGTGTTGATTATAACTGATAAGTTACGAACGAAAAATACTAAACAACTTATTAACAAAATGGATTGTTTTAGGATTAGTAAATTGATTTTTCAAAGTGTAGTAGCTCTGAAAACACTTTTGCTCTAACAAACTTTTTTTTTACAGGTCGTGATGCTAACCCTCGGCTGTTTCTCCATCTGCTGGATGCCCTATTTCATCGTCACGACCTACTTCAGGATCACCTCTCAGTCCATACAGTTCAGCCTGTCATACGAAATCGCCTTCACCATGGCGGTGTGCAACTCAGGGATGAATCCAGTGATCTACGCTTGGAAAAATTCCAGTTTCCGGGAGGCTTTCTGGTGCCTTTTGACTTGTCATTCGCCGAATAAAGCGACGAAGAAGACCAACTACATCACGAATCACGTGCCCAGTAGTAAGAAAAGTTCGATGACGAACGAAACGGAACGGGGGCACGACAATGTGGTGGCTCAAATTGACATTGATGTGGAGATGAATAGGCAGAATCATAAAGATTACGACGAACACGAGTGTAGTGTGTCTACGGAGATGACAACAGTGCATGCTGCGACGTGGAGTTGAGATTTTTTTTTTTTTGTAAATATTGTGATATGTAGGTTTAATTCTCGTTATGTTATATAGACTGTACATATAATAAAAGTTTGTTACTTGTAAATATATGCTTGCAATACTTGAATTGTGTGGATTACTGAGTATAATAGTTAATTTTTGCAAAATTTCGGTAACGTACACAAGAATATTTGGTATTCAGTTATTGTTTGTCCTTGTCTAACACAACGACAGAATGTACATCTAGTTTTGTATTCGTACATTATTTGATACCAGACTTATATGGTTACGAAATTATATCGTATAGTCAAAAAAAAGTTACAAGGTCATAAACAGCTGTTTTACACAACAGCAATGCCAGATGCAGATGTTCACATAATCTTATTTGACAGTTCGTTATCAGTAAACGTCGTTTTTTTTGTACTACTTGTATTACTCTCGCCGTTGCTATGTACGTACGTATTACAACAACTCTGACACCCTAGAAAATGAAATTACGTTAAACGCACGACAGCTGGTGATATTTAAGATCATATTAACACTGTTTCGTTTTTACTGATATTTTGCAAATTTCACTGTGGTCTTTTCATACCTACTATTGACTTTGGATTTTTTATTACAAAGAATAAGAACATTTTTTAGTAAACTATAAAACTTCAATCTAAGATTCTTTAGGATAATACAGTTAAAATAAAAATGCATATGAATTATTATTAAACGGCATGCTATGTGTATGCTTCAAATGAGTTTTTCTTAATAATAATACTGAAATGACGTCATTAAATTTTGGAGAGGATACACAGACAAATTCTCATTAGCAATTTACCATATTTAAGACAATCGTAAAACGTTTGCAGCTTTTCGGAGTAATAAGTTTTACAGGTTATAGGTTGTTGAATTTTGACTTACCTAATAAAATTTTGAAATGACGTAATCAAATTGTTGATATGAATGATCAGACACATTCTGGTCAGAAATTTACTATCCATACGATATTCTTAAAATACATCTAAAATTTCGTAACAATCACCCCGGTAGTTTTGGAAAAATGGCGTTGGAGAAACCGAAAAACTGAAAAATTGAAAAATTAAAAATTCGAAATATCGGAATCCGAGAAGTCGAAAAACCGAAATATCAAGCCATCGAAACATTAAAAATTCGGAAAAACTAAAATTTGAAAAATCGAGAAATCGAGAGTTCGACAAACCCCAAAAATCTAAAATTAAATAAAAATCGAAACAATTGAAAAATCAAGAAACGGAGAGACTCTCAAAATTGAAAACTGAACAATCGAAAAGTCGAAACATTGGAATCTCGATCAATCATGAAATTCAAAATTTGAAAAACTGAAAAGACGAAAAATTTTAAATCTGAAAAATTAAAAGTTGAGAACTGTAAAATCTAAAAAATCGAAAAACTGGAATATCAAAAAAATAAAAATCGAAAAATCTACAATTTAAATAATCGAAAAATCCAAAAATGAAATGTTGAAAAATTGAGAAATCGAAAAATTGAACAGTTGAAAAATTTTAAAAATCCAAAAACCGAAATGTTGAAAAACGTAAAATTTAAAAAATCGAAAAACTAAACAATCGAAAAATCGAGAAATCTAAAAATCGAAATGTGGAAAAATTAAGAAATTAAAACATCGAGAAAACCAAACATCAAAGCATCGAGGAATCGATTAAAACATCGAGAAAACCAAACATCAAAGCATCGAGGAATCGAAAAATCCAAAGTCGAGAAGCCGAAAACCAAAAGTAAAAATTGAAAAATCGGAAAATTAAAATACCGAAAAATTAATATGTGGAACAATTTTCGAAAAATCAATATCGAAAATCTGATTCATAAATTGTTACAACGAAAAATTGAAAAATCGGAAAACTGAACAATCGAAAAGTCGAAACATTGAAATCTCGATAAATCATGAAATTCAAAATTTGAAAAACTGAAAAGCCGAAAAATTTTAAATATGAAAAATTAAAAACTGAAAAATTAAAAAAATCGAAAAACTGAAAAATGAAAAACAGAGAAATCGAAAAATCTAACATTTTAAAAAATCTAAAAATCCAGAAATGGAAAAATTTCCAAAAATGAAATATTGAAAAACTAAAAAATCGATGAATATTGAAAAATTAAAAAATTGGTCTAAAGAGTTTATAGACAGTACTTCCCTCGCTGTCGGAAACGTGACGACATCCGATATATGCAAATTCAAAAAATATGAATGGAATGATAAATTACAAGTACAGACTCATCATATTATGTATATTCTAGATAGGATTTATTCGGCAAACTTTTGAGCTGACGTCATCAGTTTTTTGTAAAAGATAACCAAATATATTTTGACTAAAAATTTATTATGCTCTTTATAACCTCAAAACATTTGCAAGATTTCAAAACATTCGGTTCTGGAGTTCCTGATTAAATCAATAAAATACATTTACCCATCCATTAATTTTTTTGGGTCACCCTGTATATGCAAATCCAAAAACTAGGAATGGAATGATAAATCACAAGAAAAGACTCATCACATTTTGTACATTTTAGATAGGATTTATTTAACAAAATTTTGTGGTGACGTCATAAGTTTTTTAGGGGGATGAGCAAATACATTTTGATCAAAAACTTACCATGCTTATGATAACTTTAAAACACCTTCAAGATTTCAAAGCAATCGGTTTTGTAGTTCCTGCGTAAATCAAAAATCGAAAAGTCGAAACATTAAAATCTCCATAAATCATGAAATTCAAAATTTGAAAAACTAAAAAATCAAAAAAAGAGAAATCGAAAAATCTGAAATTTAAAAAAATCGAAAAATCCAGAAAAGGAAAAATTCCCAAAAATTAAATGTTGAAAAAGTGAGAAATCGAAAAATTAAATTAAACAGTCGAAAAATTTTAAAAATCGAAACATCGAAATCTTGATAAAACGAGAAATCGAAAAAAATCAAATTCAAAAAATTGAAAAATTACAGATTCTAAAAAATGAAAACTCAAAAAAAAAACGAGAAATCTAAAAATCTAAAATTGAAAAAATCGGAAAATTAAAATATCGTAAAATTAAACTATCGAATAATTGAAGAATCGAAAATATTAAAAATCCTTGAGCTACGGGATTTTTCAATTTTCGAAAAATCAATATCGAAAAATTGATTCTTAAATTGATAAATTGAAAAATTGAAAAATCGGAAAACTGCACAATCGAAAAGTCGAAACATTGAAATCTCAATAAATCATGAAATTCAACATTTGAAAAACCGAAAACTCGAAAATTTTTAAATCTCGAAAAATTAGGAATATAAACTGTAAAACTTTAAAAATAGAAAAACTGAAAAATCAAAAAAGGGAAATCGAAAAATCTAAATTTAAAAAAAAATCAAAAAATCCAGAAAAGGAAAAATTCCCAAAAATGAAATGTTGAAAAACTGAGAAATCGGGAAATCGAAAAAACGAAAAATCCAGAAATATAAAAATCGAAATATTGAAAAATTAAAGAATTAAAACATCGAGAAAACGAAACATCAAAGGATCGAGGAATCGAGAAATCCAAAGTCGAGAAGTCAAAAAAGCGAACAATCGAAAAAACCCGAAAATCGGAAAAGTAAAATATTGAGAAATTTAAATTAAAAAAAAAAGAACGACAAATCGAAGAATCCAAAGTCCGTAAAGTGAACAATACAATAGTGAAAATATCGAAATCTTGATAAATCTAGTCAAATTCAAAAAATTGAAAAATTAGGAAATCGAAAAACTGAAAAATCAAAAAAAACGAGAAATCGAAAAATCTAAAATTTAAAAAATCAAAATATCGAAAATTTAATATATCGAACAATTGAAGAATCGAAAATTGAAAAATGCTTAAGCTATACATATTGCTTTTTCAATTTTCGAAAAATCACTATCGAAAAATTGATTCATAAATTGAAAGATCGAAAAACTGAAAAATTGGAAAACTGAACAAACGAAAAGTCGAAACATTGTAATCTCGATAAATCATTAAATTCAACATTTGAAAAACTGAAAACTCGAAAAATTTTAAATCTAAAAAATTAAAAATTAAAAACTGTAAAATTTAAGAGAAATCGAAAAATCTAAAATTTAAAAAATCGAAAAATCCAGAAATGGAAAAATTCCCAAAAACCAAATGTTGAAAAATGGAGAAATCGAAAAATTGAACAGTCGAAAAATTTTAAATATCGGAAAACCGAAATGTGGAGAAACGGAAAGTATGAAATACCAAAAAATTAAAAAAATGTAAAAAAAAATTGAAAAATTAAAAAATGTAAAATTTTAAAAATCGAAAAACTAAAAAATCCAGGAATCGAGAAATCCAAGGTCGAGAAGTCTAAAAATCAAGAATCGAAATACCAGAAAATTGGAAAATTCAAAATCGGGAAACTGAACAGAATAGTTGAACATCGAAATCTTGATAAATCGAGAAATCGAAAAATGTAAAATTTTAAAAATCGAAAAATTAAAATGTCGAACAATTGAAGAATCGAAAAATTGGAAAATCTTTGAGCTGTGTGATATTTCAATTTTCGAAAAATCAACATCAAAAAATGGATTAATAAATTGATAAAACGAAAAATTAAAAAAAATCGAAGAAAAATTGAATCGAAAAACTGGAAAATCCCAAACCTGAAGAATCGAGAAATCGGAAAATGGAAAAATGGAAAAATCAAAAAGTTGAAAAATCAAAAAATTCATAACCGGATAAATTTTGATTAACGATTCCGATAACTTTAAAACGTTTGCAAGAAGATTTCGAAACATTAGATTTTGGAATTAAACTGTAAAATGTTATACAATTTTTTTCCGAAAATCTGCATGCCTATGGTGAAAACTCAACACAGATTCATAAACCATAAGTGGAGAAGTATCTACGTCAATACAAAATTTAAATAACATTTACTGTTATAAAATTTTGAGATGACGTCATTCCATTGTTGGTGGGGATGATCAGACAAATTTTGGTCAACGTTTTACCATCTACATGATATTCTTAACATATATAAAAAATTGACAACAGTCGGTCAGGAAATTTCTGAGAAATTTTCTGCTAATAAAAATCGACACAGACCGCGGACAGACAGACAGACAAATGGGAAAAGATCTATTTCTTCGTACTCTAAGGGTCACGAAACGTCGAGAAAACATGAAAGTGGCGATTCGTCTGACGGACCCTATTACAATACATATATTTTCTTAGTGAATGCTTGGAAAGCAAAAAAGCATTCGGCGAGGACGGGATTCGAACCCACAGCAGCGAAATATCGGCTACATGAACCAAACTGAAAGTATTGCAAAAAAAAAAAAATGGTGAACTAATTGTCATAAAAATCAAGGCGGATCCATAAATCATGAATACAATGATAAGCGGACATCGTCAAATGTTAGTGGGGATGATTGGACAAATCTCGGTTAGCGTTTTACCAGCAGCACGGTAATTCTGTTGTACATATAAAATTTGACAATTGGTTCGGTAGTTTCGGAGATTACAGACAGGCGGAAACGCGAAACCTACTTTTTAGTACTCTAGGCGTCATGAAAACTGAAAAAAAGTTTCGTGAGTTTCTGGAAAAACTCGATAGGATAAGTATAAACATTAAATAATAGTAAATTGATTATTTTTTGTGTTTTACGAGTGTAGAATATGCACGAATGCGATTAACAAAGTACTTATGAATATTTACAACATATTTTTACAGAAATGTGTAGATTTTGTACTTGTTTGATTTGATGCAAATATATGCGCATAGTTCGACCAAGATATGCTATTTTTCTGGCTTCTTATAACTTACTTTACAAAACATAAAAATGGTAAATTCAAATACACATATAGGATTAATTTACCCATTGATGTTTCCCAAGGAAGACGTTAAGGCCCGCTCTATTCATCATTTATATCCATGATCTTATTCTTCCACTACTATGTGTAAACGGCAGTATTCACTACTTATGGCAACAAATTATCGAACCGACAACTATACACTTACACGTTGTTGCGTGTAATGCAAGAGTTTACCTTCTGTAGCCGACGTTATCAACACACACAAGTTTCTTAAAGCAAAGATAATAGCTATTTATGTAACTAGTACATAATTGCGACTTTATGCACGTGTCCATTTATCGCCAAGTGCACGTGTCAGCGTCAGGTTGATAGAGTTTGTCGGCTGTATTACACCTATAACATCTCTCTCTCTCTTTCTCTCCCATCCAGCTGTATACCAAACACACCACAACCACATCTACTTTCCCACCTACCTCTACTCCTGTAACTCCCAGCGCTCCTCTAATATTCGGAGTCAATCTAAACGGAACCTTCTCAGGAACCCTCAGCGTCTTCCCCTTCTCAAAGCAGACATTATAGTCAATATGCACCACTTCACCACTCGTCAAGTCAATAAGAACATTGTCCAAATGCCGATCCCCCAGTCCGATGATATACCCAATGATACTCATAACAGCCACCGAATACGAGTACCTTTTCACCACCTGCCACCACGCGTTCGCGTCAACCGCGTTACACCACAACTCCTTCGCCAGGAGATCACTCGGGGTCTCTGCCATCAGCTCCGTCAACACCTGTCTGAGCACACTCAACGGCCACTCCTTCCTATTCTCTATATTCTTGATCCCGTGCTCCTTCAGCAAAGGATTCAACTTATTGTAGAACAACTCCGAAGGCCGCAGCACACTCGCAGTGGTGTTCACGTTGTTCTTAATAAACGGCTTAGCCATCTCGCGCTGTTGCCACCTCTTATATAAAGCGAAAACCGGAGTGGTACCGTCGACCCAAGAAATCAGACCCGATCGAGGCCCCAGAGGTATCACGGAATAGTGTCGCGCCCGGTACAAGTTATGACCACTAGTGTCTGGGTTTTGGGCCATCATGGTATTCGCGATACTCAAAAACTGCATTATGCGCTCGTCGAGGTGTAGATCTTCCAAACCTTTAAACAAGTAAGTGTAGGTTTGGCCATCCGAACCGTAGAAAATCAGCTTCTTGGGTTTAGTTTTGGTCGGAAGGATCGACACGATGTTGGAGACGTGCGAAATGGTGACTCGGGTTTTCGCAGAGGTGGCCAACCCAGGCATCGCGATGACGGTGTTCTTGATGGAGGCGAGAACTGGACTGATCGACTGCATTTTGAGAGTGTAAGAAGCTCGACGGTGGAATTTCTGCTGGAACTGCTTGTGTAGTACCTTCAAGGGTTGCAAACTCTCTTGCGGTTTATCAGGGTTCTCAGGGTTCTTCAACTTGTTTATTACTTCTTTGATCTCTTGGAGGTACTTCTCTTGGAAGTCTTTCTCGTGAGGGGTTTCTGCTTCAGCGCTTGTTACTTCTTGCAGCTGTTCCAGAACAAAAACGATCGGTTTGATTATAATGCGGTGTTTCTCGGCGATTAGAGACATCTTCTCTTCTTTGTTTAGGTTCGGGTTTTCGTTCACTTTCTCGATTTCGTACTCGAGTTGTTGCTGGCGTTTGCTGATCTCCGTTTGGTGTTGGGCTAAAGTTCCTAGCCATAGTTCGTCCCATAGGAGTGTGATGCGTCGTAACTCTTTGACAAGGGTTTGTACTTGGGCTATAGTTTCAGGGTCTTGTTTACTAAGAGTGTCTACCATGGTCTTGAAGCACGACTGTAGCGCATTGGTCGAATCTTCATTGTCACTTTCGTAGTTGTCGTCTTCTTCGTTAAGCTCCTCATCTTGACACTCGTTATTCTGTGATAAACAGTCTTTAGGTAGCGAGATTTCGGAAAAGTCAAACTTCAACCCTCCTTCTAGGGCCCCAACGACCGCCGGGAACGTAATCAAATGAGGGGCGTCTTCAGCTATCCGACACAACAAATCCGACACTCTGTGTCTAACGTAGCTCTCGGGGTGGTTCAAACGCGAAAACAATTGAGGTATTATGACCTTCCACGGTTGCGTAGGTGTGGTTTGCAACCCCTCTTCCAAAATCCCTTGTAGTTCCAAAGCGTACTTCACAATCAACCTCAACAGACGCAACGTAACCGTAATCACGTTACATTCGGTACTCTTCGTGACGTTCTCGGCGTTCGTCGTCAGATGCAAGTACTTGAAGTAAGCCTCTGCACTTAAAGCATAGTACGTGTAAATCCTCTTTTGCGTGTTCCTCCAAATCTGTACCAACGTCTCTAAATCCGCCTCGGATGCATTTTGCAGCACCGGTACATACTTCAACTGGCTTTGAATCATCTCTGAAGTGTTCAAATCGTGCGATTCGATATCCTCCTCGTCTAGATTCGACCTTGTTTGCGACAAAATCATAACGATTTGCTTGACGTCGTCTGAGGAAGCCCCCACGTGAAGGATGTTCTTAATAATGGCGTAGTCTTCATCCGTGAGGTTGTTGTGTACGTCGGAACTATAATCCACGATTTTGCGTCCCCAGCGGTAGCACCAGGTACCAAAAACGTTCCAGCTTTTGGCCAAACCCACACTCTGGTGCACGCTGAACTGCAGCAATTTCCCGATTGCCATCTCGCTCATCGGGATGACGTTAGAAGCGCTGTTTTCCATCATGCCGATTTCAGGTAGTACCATTAGGAGTTTCCCTAATGGACTATTGATCTCAGTTAGACAGATCTCTTCGTTGACTTGCAACCAACTCGCCAACTTTAGTAGAATCTTGCTGCTGATTTTTTTTAGTTCGGTGCCTCCGTACAGTTCCGCGTACTTGGAAATGGCGGTGGAAGCCGAAGCGCACAGATTGAAGCTGTGCTGGCGATTCTGGTCAGTACAGTAGGAGAGTTTGATGATTTCGGTGATGACCCGAGCAGTATCAACGCTCCATACCGAAATCTCCCGGATTTTTTGCAAGAAACCACTAGCAATAGTGTTAAAACCGTTATCTTCCAGCGTGAGTTCTTTGTCTTTGAGGAATCGATGGATGTGGTTACGGGCTAACTTAAAGTTGCGTTCTTTTCGGGCTCGTTTTATCACGTCTATGCGGAGGTTGGTGCAGAAGGTGGTACTACTGAGGTTCTGGACCGTGCCGAAGTACTCCGACCACCATAGAATCTTGCGCAAGATGGAAGAATCGACTTTTGCGATTTCGTTCTCGAAGTCTTCCGACACCAAAAAGACTGTGTTGGCGTCGGTGTTCTTCGTGATGTTTTTCACACCTTGGCAGGCGTACTGCATCAGAAGCAAGTTCTGCAGGTACTCTGATGGCGCGTAATTCAAATGATCTCGGACCGATTGTTGTAGTTTAGCTAAATTGTCGTCGACTTTCTTATCAACGTTATCTTTGTTTGCGGCTACAGTGAACGACAAACCATACAAGTTACTCTCAAGGGTTGTCAAATCCTCGTACAGACTCCACGAATTCGGGTCTTTTTTATAGTTCCAAGTACACATCTCGGTGAAGACTTGTCTTCCGACTTCCACGTTGAAGAGGTTGTTCACGCACCCCCAATCCGTCATGCTAAACCAATACCTCCTTCCGTTGTCCATATTCTCAGCCGCGTTGTCCATAGAGTTCCAGTTAATCATGTCGCCCCAATTCCCCAATTCTTTATAGCAAATAGCGATCTGGTCGTAGATAAAATTCTGGGTATCGCTTTCCAACTTCGACGACTCAGTTTGGTCGTCGCTATCATTAACGTGGTTGTGCTTGAGCACCTTTCTATAGCCGTCAATCGCTATCTCGTAGTGTTTGCACGCCTGTTCAGCTGCATATTTAATCCAAACGAACTTCCGTCCGGCGACGTTTTTGCACCACACGTACAACCCCAAAATGGCTTCGTTTTCTCTCATTTGTAGCAACGCTAGAGTGACGAAAATCACCACCCTTTCGAACTCGACTCCGCTTAACCTTCCAGTGGCGACTAAGTCGCTTAGGAGGGCTTGCCCGTGCCTTATTGCGGTACAAGGGTCACCGGCATGCATAGCTATATGTATCACAACCATGCGGATCCGGCTCAACCATTCGCTACAAGTGTTGGTATTGGTGATGAAAAACGAGCGAACTTGCTTTGGGGGTTGCTGCATTGCGATGGCACACCCTTCCGACGCACTATATATAGCTTTTTCAAGATGTTCAATGAACAAGAGCAGCAACTTCACTCGGGTACTATCATTGCGACTTTCGTTGTCTTTATTTTTCTTGGCGTTGATTAAATCGTTGCCCAGTTGGTTCAAAGCGCCCTCTATCTTAGTGAAAGTCTCGTTGGGTTTCCCGAGTGGCGTGCGCAGCTTGGAGTTGACGCAAAACTGGGCACTCTCGAGGGTGGTCCAACTATTGAGGACCAAACGTGAGTTGAGAGCTAAGTCATACAAGAATTCCATAGCTTTGTAGTTGGTTTGGAGAGGCCAACTAGAGATGAAGGTGTCTTCGAGCCAGTTGGGTGAATCAGGTCGTTCGTTCTTTAGTAGATAGTCCATGAATGTCTTAAATTGTAGCGGGTAGATATCCCCAGTTGAGCTATTGTTCAAATGGACGTGCTGCGCCATCCAGATCATGTAATTAGAGTAGTGTTTAGCGAAACTCGGCTTTTTCACGTCGAACAAAGAGTTGGATTTGTTGAATTCGACGATAGCGACATCCCAGGGGATGTTTGACGACAGTTTGGAGTACTTGAGCCGGATTTCTCGATTATTGGAACTTAGGTGGAGTTTCACTAATTCGCAGACGTTGATCAAGAACTGGTTACTCCAAGACAGTTGTTTGTTCGCTAAAAGCTTGTCTAGGTTTTCGCAAACCGATAGGACTATTTTCGTGTTGAAGTGGTACCCACAACGTACTAGGACTTCCGTTACGGCTACAAACTTATCGTTATCATACAAGTTGGCCAAGTAACTATCAGAATTGATAAGGATGTCGTTGAACCACTGCAAAAGCAACAGAGTGACTTCACAGGGTGTCTGTATACAGAGTGTTTTATACAAAATGTCTAAAATTATCTCGAAGTTACCCAAATTCGGTGACGTATTCGGTACGTCGTTTAAGTTTAGAACGTCTGATAATGTGAAGAGTCCCATCAGGTTTGGTTGATCTTGTTTTTTCGCCACTAGGTTGCTGCTTGAAATGAAGTGGTTGTAGCACTTGCAGTGCGAATATAGCAAGTAGAGCAGGCTATATTGCAACGCTGGGTTATTTTTAGCCAAGGAAACTTGGTAAGGGGCTAAATTCACTCCCACTAGTTCTAGGATACTGGGTTTTAGCGCCCACATCACTATTATCGAGCTGGCGTTAGCCAATTGGGACAAACATCTCAGTAAGAACAGAACCGTCAGCTCCTTCTCTTCATCAGTCAAGTCAAAACTATCAACGGTAAAGGGGTTATTTTGAATGAAGGGTTCCACATTGGGGACAATCGCGCGATAGACGACCTCTAAGTCGCCCAAAACATATCTATACGCTTCTTGCAATAACGATACGTTCTTTAAGTTGAGCAAAGCTTGGTAGACGCAAATCACAGAGTCTTGGATGGTTTTAAAATGGGAGTACCTCAGTTTCACGATTTCGGACTTAGGTCCTATTAGTTTCTCAATAAGCTCAATGGGAAGGTTCGCCGACAATTCCTTGATTATTCTAGAGATGAGCAGAAGCATAGACACCATTGTAGCGTCTGAGAAATCGTTCACCAAAGACAACTCTAGATCTATTAAATTGTAAATGGAAGTACTCAGAGCTTGACTTTTGTTGTCCAACTGACTCAACAAAATCCCTATGCTTTCGTTCGCCGCTATGATGAGATTATCAGTGACAAAGTTCTCCAGAACCTCGCGAACCGTCTTTATTACTTGGTTCAAACAAGTAGAGACTAATTCAACAGTCACGTGTTTGTTATTAGCCGGTCTAAAACTGTCTCCAAGACACTTCAAAATGGTGTTCAATGCTAAAATCAAAACATTGACATGCTCTAGCGAATTACTCTCTGAATCGTTCAACTGAGTGCTAAAATTCGTGATGTCTTCTAAAAAGTTCTCAATTAAAGTGACTGCAAAATCGAGATTGTATTTAAAATGGGGTGCAATTCGCTGCAAGTTGCGTGAAATAAACTCTATGTTGGATAACGGTTGAGTGTGATCTACATGCCACCCAAACAACAAATCAACAGTGTCCTGAAACTGCGGATAGAAACACTCAGGATAGAGCTCAACAGTCGTCATCAGAATGTCTAAAATCGCCTTAAACACTTCCGCATTTTCCGTTATCTCAATGGAAACCACCAAATGGTGCATCAAATTCTCCGCATGCTCCTGCAAAACGGGTTTATTCTTTTCAAAAGCCAGCGTCTCTTTAAAACTCTTCATCAACAAAATCTGCATTTCTTCGTACGTGTTTTTCATTTTCACAAACAACCAGTTCAGGTACCTCTCGAAATCGTTCTCTTGCCCCATGATGTACCCCATCCGTCCCAACGCTCTCGTCGCCTGAAGCTTCGCCAGCGGCCCCGGCGACACTTGCAAAATGTCGAACATTGACTCCCCCAAAATGTGGAACGCTTTCCGCACATACTGGGCGTTGTCTGGCAGCAACAACACCTCCAGCAGCTTCTTGGAAATCGTGAGCGAATTCTCCTGGTCGGTCTCCGTGCTCAGGCGGCGCAACAGCTTGGAGATCCGCGTGTCCTCCGGGAGGTTGAGCTTGATGTCGTTTTTCTTTTCCGGTTCGTAGAATTTTCCATGATACGTTCCTAACGGTTTTACGTAATCACTTGGCTCGTAAATCGCAAAATTGCAAACACTCACCTGACGACTCCGAATGGCGCGATAGCGAGTCCTGGTACTTCCGGTTCAAGATGTAGAAATTGTCGGAGCCGTCTCGGTCCCCCCGGCGGCTCGGGGGGCCGCCGCGGCCCCGGTAGCCGCCCCTTCGGTCGCTAACTTTGGACGAGCGGAACTCGCTCGAGCGGGGCCTTCCTGAGCCCCGGTAGCGGTTGTCGCGGCTGTAAACATGGTACTTTTGGTTGTTTTCTACATCGCCGTCGACGCTGCTGTTCTCGTAGTTGTCATCGGAGTGGTTATTGTCGTAATCGTTGATTTCTTTGGAGCTTTTTGAAGCTTTGAGCTTGTAAGGCGTGTTATTCGATATCATCACTTACATGCCGATACAAAAATTGCTTTCATATACATGGACGAAACTGTGACAAAATCTGGAACGACAATTGCGAAATAATGCGAAATTAAGGGCGGAATTATCACACAAACCCAACGATTTTTCTTGAATATCTGCATCTGTCACTCAATATGGTGCAATTGGTTGATAACAAAGCGTCACGAAAGTCCCTACAATTCCCCAGATAAGGGAACCTTGGGCGCTGTTGCCATGTTGGAAATGTTTTGGTTTATGTTTGTTGAACAGAGATATCAGATATCACATTAAGTGGAAGATAATGGATGAACGTGCAAAATAAACAAGGAATAGTTATCACAGGTTTACCATCTGCTTTGAGGAATTTTTACGTCTGTAATTTTCCGCTCAGAAAACAATATTATTGAAATTCCAAGCCCAGTGGCGTAACAAACGATGACTAAGCAACGCCACTATAATTTGATTAAAAAATTATTCAGAATGTCAATTTTCAACACAATTCGGATGTAACATAATGATAATAGACTGTGGCGAAAATTACTCACATTTTTATATCTAATACTACGGACTAGTATATACAATATTTTAGTTACATAGTCATGCCCAATCTGATTGGTGTAAAGTTCATTACGCCGCATCAAATATTCAAACGTAATCGATCCCGGAATAAAGTACTCAAAATTCCTGTAAAGGAATAACAGGATAACATCGGCAAATAGGAAATCGAAAAATGAACGAATTTTAAAAAGTCAAAAAACCGATAAATCGAAAATGCAAAAATTGAAACAGAAAATTGAAGAATCGAAAACCTGAAAAATTGGAAAATCGAAATGCCGAAAAATAGAAAAACCAAGAAATCGAACCATCAAAAAATTCAAAAACTGAAACAACCAGAAACCGAACCATCAAATAGGCCAAAATTGAAAAATCGAAAAATCCAGAAATTGAACAATTAAAAAACCGAAACACCGAAATCTCGATATATCAAAAAATTGAAAAATCGAAAAATTGAAAAACGAAAAATCTAAATTTTGAAAATTGGAAAAATTGAAAAATCGAGAAATCGAAACATCAATAAGTAAAATAATGGAAATACCTACTGAAAAATTGAAAAATCCCAAAATTGACACATTGAAAAATCGAAAAAATCAAAAACCGGGAAATCGAAAAGTCGTAAAATCGAAAAATCAAAAACCTGGAAGATCGAAAAAGAACTGGAAAACTGAAAAATCGAAACATTGAAAAAAATCGAGTAATTGGAAAATCAAAAAATCGATTAATCGAGAAATTGAGAAATCAAAAAATGAAAAATTTAGAAACATCAAAATTTGAAAAACTGAGAAATTGAAAAATTAAAAAATCGTAAAACTGAAAAATCTAATGTGACTCGATCTTGAAATGTGTGGCAATTAGTAACTTTTATGAAATAGAAATATATCTGTGTCCTTGTTATGCTCCGTCTTTTCGACAGCAGGTATTTTTTGCTTCCAGTATGGCGATCCTGTTACTGTCAATTGGCCGTCAATTGCCTTGGTGGTAACACGTCTTCCACGACTGTTTGCTGGTTACCGGTGACACTTTCTCGTTGAATAGGGCTGGAGTTACTTTACTTTGGGACTGGAATAGTGTTCTTTCCGGTCCGTTAACTCAATAATTCTAGTACAGTCTGTCGTAACCTCAAATCGTAAACACATCAAACTTTCGTTGACAGATAGCGAAAATTACTAGCCTCGCGCTATCTTTGTTTAACACATAGGTTAGGTTCCTCTCTGTCGAATTCCGACCACAGGCAGTTTGCCGTACTTTCTAAAAGTAATAGTAGATCTAGTGACTTTAGAAAAATCGGCAAATGAGATATCGAAAAACGAAGAAATCGAGAAATCGAAAATTTTAACAAAATTCAAATTGAAAAATCGAGAAATTACGAAACCGAAAGTTGAAAAATCGGAAAATCGAAAAGACGAAAAATCGAAAAATCAAAAAATTGAGAAATTAAAAAATTGTTGTCCGTATAACTTTGATTTTTTTTCCAAAAATCTCGATATATCAAAAAATTGAAAAATGAAAAATTGAAAAACGAAAAATCTAAAATTTGAAAATTCGAAAAATTGAAAAGTCGAGAAATCGAAAAATCAAAAACCTGAAAGATCGAAAAATTGAAGACCTAAAAAACTGAAAAATCGAAACATTGAAAAAAATCGAGAAATTGGAAAATCAAAAAATCGATTAATCAAGAAATTGAGAAATCAAAAAATGAAAAATTTAGAAACATCAAAATTTGAAAAACTGAGAAATCGAAAAATTAAAAAATCGTAAAACTAAAAAATCGGCAAATGAGATATCGAAAAACGAAGAAATCTAGAAATCGAAAATTTGAACAAAATTCAAATTGAAAAATCGAGAAATTACGAAACCGAAAGTTGAAAAATCGGAAAATCGAAAAGACGAAAAATCGAAAAATCAAAAAATTGATAAATTAAAAAATTGTTGTCCATATAACTTTGTTTTTTTTTCCAAAAATCTCGATATCTAGGATAAAAATTTAACACAGATTCATAAACCACAAGTTCAGGACTATGCTATTTGTTAACATTTATTCGACAAAATTTTGAGATGACGTCATGAATGTTTTTATGTAATTTTTATTTGTTATCCAAAAATCTGAATGCCTAAAATGAAAACTTAACACGGATTCATAAACCACAAATGGAGGAGTACGTTATTTTGTAAAACATACAAAATTTGACAACAATCGGCCGATAGTTTGGGAGACTATCTGTGCAACAAAAATCCGGGCAGACGGCAGACAGACAAACAGACAGACAGACGGAAACGGGAGACCTATTTTTTCGTACTCTTGGGGTTATGAAACGTCGAGAAAATATCAAAGTAGCCAGTTGCCCGATGGACTTGATTACAATACTTCCTTAGATTACGCTCGCGAAGTAAAAACAAATATACAGAGTAGCGTAAAAGTCTGGAGCTGGTGAAGTATCTCAACAATCATTTATTTTTTTTTCGAAGTGTATTTGGTTTATGCAATTTTTTCAAATTTTTATCCTGACTAGTTTTTGAGATTTAAATGTCAAGTTTTTTTTCTGAGTGACAGTATAGGGCAAATTTCACGTCAGTGTATTTTCTTCTAAAGTCAGTAAAATGTGATAGTGTTATAATTTCTTTTATTTTTACTTCCCGAAGTTTTATAATATGATCCATTCGGCGAATGACTACTTTCATGTTTTCTCGACGTTTCGTGACCCTTAAGGTACAAAAAAAAGAGGTCTCCCAGTTCCGTCCCACCGTCTGTCTGTCTGTCTGTCATCTGCTCGTCTTCGAAACTCCGGATTTGAAATAATATCGTGCAGATGGTAAAACGCTAACTGAAATTTATCTGGTGTTCCCGATCAACAATTTGATTATGTCACCCCAAAATTTTTCATGGTAAAACCGCATTTAAACTTTATCAAATAACAAAAAAATTTCAATACACCTTTTGTGCAAGCACAAAGAAAGTTTTTTTTTGTAGAAATTTAGAAACAGTAAAAGTTACATTTTTGTTAAAATCAGTGGTGTTTGGTTATAGTACAGTTTAAAAACAAAGACAAAATTTTGAATTGTTTTTGAAATATAACGTGATAAAGAACCAAAAAACGCGATGAAAATTCAAAAAAATTCGATCTACTATGAAATTTTAATAATCAAAATTAAATAGCGCCGCGAATTCCCTCCCATAAAATGCATTTCTTACGGGCAGGCACGTAACCAGCCTTTTATTTTGCAGGGGCCCAACCCGGGCACTAATTTCAAATAAGGGAGCCTTTAGAAAAATTCACATCAGTTGTATCGGCTAATTGCTTAAAAAAGTTATCGACAAAACTGTTCATACCAGTATTGCTTTACTCAAAAGAGTTATATTATCACTGATATTACAAGATAATAACATAAGATTACACATAGCTAAAATTTACTGTTGATCTGAAGTTTCGAATTTGCTTTACTTTTAAACCAGGCCCCCCCTTGGTTACGTGCCTGCACAGGAATGACTTTGGATAACCCTTATTCTAAACGTGCCCCTAATAACTCTTCCTTTACCTCCGTCACTGCAAATGTTCGTGCTAATGGCTGACGTGACAACTCGTGCAATCACAAGTTCTGGGAGCACATCGGCAACACTGCCCGTAGCAACCGTGAAACGTCAACATGTCATAGTTGTCAAAAATTAAAAACAATGCCCTTAAACGAAATAATTAGTCAACGAATCACTTTTGGGCTAACTCTTTTTAAATCTCTCGTTTATAAACACTAGAATTTGCTTAGGAAAAGTCTTTGCAGTTAACCTATAATGTAATAATGAGTTGGTTCGACGCATCGGGGTTTGCCAACATAGCAAAGTCTGCACTAAGGGAAGCCCAGAGGACGATAGACAAAGCCCTAGATATTAAAGACGACGAAATTAATCCAGTTCCTGCAAACACACCCATTGACACAAACTCGGACGACTTTTTCGGGACGTGGGGTTTGACGCAATCGGGTCACATTAAAGACCCGAAGAAGGATGATGAGGGGCCGAGGCAACCCAAGCTTCAGTCGAGTCTGTGGGGGTCATTCACCGGATCGTTTTTTGACACCAATAAGGATGACCCAAAATCGCCTTCTATTGATAGTTTAGATGATTCCATTGATACAGGTAGTGAGCATTTTAGTAGAAGTAAGCTTGTAGTGCAACAAAGTGATGATGGGGATAGTTATTATTCGCGATTGTCGTCTGTGGAGACAGACGAAGAGACTATCACAAATGACAATGAAACAAATTCGCCTTTTGAAAAATTTGAAGTACAATTAGGTGAGTTGTGAATGCTGTTGGGTTTTTTGTGAGTAGTTTTTCTGCAGATTCTCCTGATAATCCTGCATCTGTGGTGAAAAGGCGCGAGAAGCCATCGTCCTCAGTAAATCGGCTTTCAATAATCAGTAGTGAGAGTGGTAAAAACAGTTCTGAAAGTGTGGAATTAATTACTTGTAGTACGGAGTGTACCACAAGTCCTGAGTCTGAATTGTTGTCTGGCGATCAAAGTATTTCAACTTCTAGCTCAGCGGTGGCTAGACAGACTTCAGAGTCAGTGGAAGTATTGGCTGATAGTTTGACTAGTCCAAGTTCTGTTGAGATTATTGGATTGGATAGTTTAGATGGGAAGACGCAAGATGAGTTTGCGTCACCCCTGGAGTCGCCACTTGCGGAAGAAGAGGCGAGGTAATAAATCTACAGTTTATATTTTATAGATATAATTGAGTCCATTGGACGACTGCCTACTTTTATGTTTTCTTGACGTTTCGTGACCCCTAGAGTACGAAAAATCGGTCTCCCATTTCCGTCCGTCTGTCTGAATTTTTATTAGACAGATACAGGGTGTTCATACACATCAAAAAACGTGAAAATTAGCCAGTGTCGTTGCTTTCATCCTAAACAATTTTTAAGTTTTTTGTAATGTTTTAAAATGAAGAAATCTATTAATAAAGACAAACATTTTCTTTACACTTATTGTGAATGATGAAATTCCGATCGATTTCAGATACCCAACACACAATAGTGAATTAAAATATGGTAAAATTTCGGGAAAAAAACGTTGAGCAGCTATATCTTTTACATTTGGACGAAAATAATGTTGACATTATTTTTTCTTTGCTTCATAAATGATCGTGAACAACGTGTCATAGAGTTATCGCGCCATTTTTTGAACATTTTGTATACGTGTCCTTGAAAAAATGTTGACCTTTGACCAATTCTTTGGTATTACAATTTTTGGTTTTTCCTTTCTCTTCGATTTTGTAATTTTTTGCTATCACAATTTTCCGTGTTTTCATTTTCTTTAATTTTTCAATTTTTCCATTTCTCGACTTCCAAATTTTTCACTTTTTCGTTTATTCGATTCTTCGATCTTCAATTGTTCAATTTTGCAATTTTTCGCTGTTACAATTTTTCGCTGTTACAATTTTTTTTTTTTCAATTTTTTAGTTTCTCAATTTTTAATTTTTCGATTTTTAAAGTTATTGATTTTTATTTTTATTGTGGCAATTTTGTTAGTTTCGTTTTTTTTTTATTTTGTAGCACAATTTTTCGTTTTTTCATTTTCTTTATTTTTTCAATGTTTCTTTCGATTTTATAATTGTTCGTCTATTCAATTTTTCAATTTTTGAATTTCCCAATTATCCGATTTTCCGATTTTTTTTTTCAATCAATTTTCGATGTTAATTAATGTTTAGATTTTTCAATTTTTCGTTATTGATTTCCAATTTTTAGGCTCTTCAGTTTTGCAATTTTTCCATTTCTTAGATTGGAAAAGTTGAAAAATCGGAAAACTAAAAATTCAGAAAAAATTGAAAAATCGAAAGTTTGAAACATTGAAAAACTAAAAATCGAGGAACTTAAAAATAAAAAAAAAATTATGAATCGAAAATGTAAATGGAAAAAGTTAGAAAACCCAAAAATTGTTAAATCGAATAATTATGGGAATCGTCAAAATTGTGACATGGAAAGATCGAAAAATTGAACAAATTAAAAATTAGAAATTGGACAATAAAAAATCTAAAAATTAAAAATAAAAAAAGAATGAAAAGTCAAAACCCAATAATATAAAAATGAAAAAAAATTCTAAAATCATAAAATTGAAAAAGTAAAAATTTATACAAATTTGAATAAACGAAAAATTATATTAAAAAAATTCAAAAATTATAGAACCGTCTAAATTGTAAAGTCGAAAAATTGAACTAATTAAAAATCTAAAAATCAAAAACAAAAAAAAAAATAAAAATCGATTAAATGAAAAATCAAAAAGTTAAAAATTTTACAAAATTATAGTTATATTATAGAAAATGAACAATTTCTGAAAACTTTCACACTGAAAAAATTAAAAATTATTAAATCAGAACATTGAAAAAGCGAAAATTTAAAAAAATTAAGAAAGTAAAACACCGAAATGAAAAATGGAAAAATAGAAAATTCGTGAAATTGCAAAGGAAAAGTTGCAAAATCTAAAAATTGAAGGTTGGAAAACCGAAGAAATGAAAAATTTTAAAATGAAAATATGAAGACAATAAAAATAAAGTTGATCAAACAAAAAAATAAAAAATTGAAACAAAAAATAATAATAAAAGAAAAACCAAAACGAAAAATTCTAAATCGAAAGTTTGTAGAAATAAAAAATTGAGTGGAAAAATTGAAAAATCGAATGAATGAAAAAGTTTTAAGATCCAATAATTGAAACATGGAAACTAGAAAAATTTGCAAACAAGGACTGAAAAATTTCACACTGAAAAAAAGAAAAATTATAAAATCAGAACATTGAAAAACCGAAATTTTTTAAAAATTAACAAAATAAATCACCGAAATGACAAATTATAACTCGAAAAATTAAAGAAATGGAAAATGGAAAAATAGAAAATTCGAAAAATTACAAATCGAAAAGTTGCAAAATTTAAAAATGAAAACATGAAGACAATAAAAATAAAATTGATCAAACAAAAAAAATGAAAAATTGAAAAATCGCAAATCGAAAAATTGAAGAAACAAAAATTTAAAAGACTGAAATTGAAAAAAAATATATAAAAATAATAAAATAAAAAGCAAAACGAAACATTCCAAATCGAAATTTTGAAGAAATAAAAAACTAAAGAATCGAAAAATTGGAAAATCGAATAAATGAAAAAGCTTTAATTTAAAATCCAATAATTGAAAAATTGAAAAATTTTACAATCGTAAAATTGAAAAAGTGAAATATTTTAAAAATTATTAATACGTATTACATACGTAAAATGAAAACTAGAAAAATTGCAAATCAAAAATTGAAGAAACGAAAAATTGCAAAATCATGAAACCGAAAAATTCAAAATTGAAAATCGAAAAATTGACATGAAAAAATGAAAAATCGTACAATTGAAACACTCCAAAGTTGGAAAATCGAAAAACTAAAAATTCGAAAATTCGTTTAAACAAACAAAAAATAAAAAGTTGAAATATTGAAAATCGAATGATTGAAGAAACGAAAAATTGAAAAAATAAAAATTGAAAATTGGTGAAATTTAAAATCGAAAAGTTGCAAAATCTAAAAATTTAATTGAAAAAATGAAAAACAAATTTTAAAATGAAAATTGGAAGAAAAAAAAATTGACCAAACAAAAAAAAAATTAAAATTGAAAAATTGCAAAACGAAAAATTGAAGAAACGTTATTAGTGAAATTGAAATAAACAAATAATTATAAAATCGGAAGATTGAAAAATCAAAAAATTATAAAAATATTAAGGTTACATTTATCAAAACGAAAAATTGCATATCGATAATTTGAAAAAATAAAAAATTGTATAATCTAAAAATTGAAAAGTTTTAAAATCCAATAATTGAAAAATGGATAAATTCTATAATCGTAAAATTGAAAAAGTGAAATAGTTAAAAAAATATTATTATTATTATTTTTACATAAGGGAGTATTTAAAATGAAAACTAGAAGTACAAATTTCAAATCAAAAACTAAATAATCGAAGAGTTGAAAAATCGAGAAAGTGCAAAATCTAAAATTGAAACAACGAAAAATTAAAATTCTAAAAATTGAAAAATGATAAAACCTTCCAAATTGTAAAGTTGAACAAGTGCGACATTAAAAGATCGAAAAATTGAATATCTAAAAATTAAAAAATTAAAAATAAAAGTGGAAAAATTCTAAAATCGTAAAATAAAAAATCTAGAGCCTGAAAAATCTACAATTGAAAAAATGCAAAATTCAAAAATCAAAAAATTTTAAACCAAAAAAATTGCAAATCGAAAAATTAAAAATCCAAAAATTGGATAATTTCACATTGAAAAATCGAAACATTGAAAAACTGCGACATTAAAAGATCGAAAAATTAAATATCTAAAAACAAAAAAAATTAAAAATAAAAGTGGAAAAATTCTAAAATCGTAAAAGAAAAAATCTAGAGCCTGAAAAATCTAAAATTGAAAAAATGCAAAATTCAAAAATCAAAAAATTTGAAACTAAAAAATTGCAAATCGAAAAATTAAAAATCCAAAAATTGGATAATTTCACATTGAAAAATCGAAACATTGAAAAACTGCGACATTAATAGATCGAAAAATTAAATACATATCTAAAAATTAAAAAAGTAAAAATAAAAGTGAAAAAATTCTAAAATCGTAAAATAAAAAATCTAGAGCCTGAAAAATCTAAAATTGAAAAAATGCAAAAATCAAAAAATTTGAAACTAAAAAATTGCAAATCGAAAAATTTAAAATCCAAAAATTGGATAATTTCACATTGAAAAATCGAAACATTGAAAAAATAAAGAAAATAAAAAACCGAAACGAAAAGTTGCAGAGCGAAAAAGCGGAAGAAATGAAAAATTGAAAAATTAACAATTGATAACTCGTGAAATTGCAATTTAAAAAATTGCAAAATCTAAAAATTGAATATCCGAGGGCTGGAAAATCGAAAACTAAAAAATTTAAAAATGAAAACTTGGAAGAGTTACATGACCTAAAATTGAAGGAATAAAAAAATTAAAAATTAAAAAAATGCAAATCGAAAAATTTCAGAAACGAAAAATTGAAACGGTTGAAATTGAAAAAAGAAAAAATTATAAAAGCGGAACATTTGAAAAAATAAAGAAAATAGAAAACCGAAAATTCGAAAATTCGTTTGAAGAAACAAAAAATAAAAAGTTGAAATATTGAAAAACGAATAATTGAAGAAACGAAAAATTGAAAAAGCGAAAAAATTATAAAATATTGAAAAATCGAATAATTGGAAAAATAAAGAAAATAAAAAAAAGAAACGAAAAATTGCAAATCGAAAAATGGAAGCAATGAAAAATAGAAAAACTAAAAATTGAAAATTGGTGAAATTGAAAATCGAAAAGTTGCAAATTCTAAAAATTGAATTGGAAAATCGAAAAACAGAAAAATTGTAAAATGAAAATTGGAAGAAAAAAAATATTATTGATCAAACAAAAAAAAAATTAAAATTGAAAAATTGCAAACCGAAAAATTGAAGAAACATTACTATTGAAATTGAAATAAACATTATTACATATCGATAATTTGAAAAAACAAAAATTGTAAAAAATCGAAAAATTGAAAAGTTGCTTAAATGAAAAAGTTTTAAAATCCAATAGTTGACAAATGGACAAATTCTATAATCATAAAATTGAAAAAGTGAAATATTTAAAAAATTATTATTATTATTACATAGGAGTATTTAACATGAAAACTAGAAAAATTGCAAATCAAAAATTAAACAAACGAAGAATTGAAAAATCGAGAAACCGCAAAATCTAAAATTGAAAAAACGAAAAATTAAAATTCTAAAAATTGAAAAATTATAGAATTGTCCAAATTGTAAAGTCGAAAAACTGCGACATTAAAAGATCAAAAAAATTGAAAAATTAAAAATCGAAAATCCAGTAATTGAAAAATGGAAAAATTCTAAAATCGTAAAATTAAAAAAAATCTAAATATTTGAAAATCGAAAAATGAAAAATCCAAAAATGAGAGAATTTTACATTGAAAAATTTAAACATTGAAAAAATAAAGAAAATAAAAAACCGAAACGAAAAGTTGCAGAGCGAAAAAACTGAAGAAATGAAAAATTGAATATCCGAGGGCTGGAAAATCGAAAACTAAAAAATTTAAAAATGAAAACTTGGAAGAGTTGCATGACGTAAAATTGAAGGAATAAAAAAATGAAAAATTAACAAAATGCAAATCGAAAAATTGCAGAAACGAAAAATTGAAACGATTGAAATTGAAAAAAGAAAAAATTATTAAAGCGGAACATTGAAAAATCGAAAAATCTCAAATTGAAAAATTGAAAAAACAAAAAATGATAAAATCGGAACATTTAAAAATCGAATTATTGAAAATGATAAAGAAAATAAACAACCAAACGAAAAATTAAAATTTCAAGAAGCTCAAATCGAAAAATCGCAAACTGAAAAATTTAAACTCCCAAACTCGAAAAATTGCAAATCGAAAAACTAAAGAAATAGAAAATTGAAAAAGTGAAAAATTCAAGTTAAAAAAAAAATTGTGGCAGTGTTATTTCCTGCTTTTTACTCCATGAAAGTTAACAAAAAACAAAAAAAGAATATAATTCTTCAAAGAAACGGAATTTGTTGGGTTGCACTTGAAGGGCGAGTGAAGTTCTGTGGAAATAACCTTCAACAAATTTTTGAAAATTCAAATTTGTACAAAATTAACAAACTGTCTTTCAGCCCCTGCATTGAGAAAACCTCCCCCGACAGCGTGGAAGTCATCCCCGAGGACCAAGAAGAAAGCGTCGCCGAAGACACAATGTCCTACACCTCAATCTCTGAAAGCACTTCAGCCACAGTCCTCGACCAAGCATTCCTGCACCTCAAACCCCAAAAAATGCTTAAAGACACCTACAACACCAACATGACCGAAAGCGACATCTCCCTCAGCCCCGAGAAGAACCACAGCTTCGCCGACGCCATCACCCGAGCACCAAGTCGCGGCGGAATGCACTTACCTCTAACACAAGTCAATCAAGTATTAATAGACACCCAGCCGCAAAGCAGCCGCCAAGACCTCTCCAACCTCCTGAAAAACACCAACATCATCGACATTCCCCACGAGGAAAACGCGCAGATCGAGTCCTGCGACGAGGGGTCACAGTCCGATCGGACGATTATTGCGAAAGACGGGGCCATGGACAGCAGCAGCGACACCAGTATTACGGAGGGGATGAACTCGGTGTATTTGAAGAATTTGATCGCGGACGCTATGACTGAGAAGAGTCCGGAGCAGAGCGAGGTGAAGACAAGTCATTTTATGGATTTGTCGCAGAGTATGATCGACTCGAAGCAGGAGAATGTGGTGTTGGAGAATATCTCGATAAGTCAGTTGGACATGCCGCCTCGGGAGAACTCGCCGGTGAGTTCGGAAAGCCGATCGGATTTGGTGAAGATCGGGTCCGATCATACGTCGGGGCACACGTCGGGGGACGAATTGGAAACCACCACGTCGTCGGATATTGAGATCATTTCTAGTCCAAATGGTGATTCGAGTAGTACGCAGAGTCGGCAGAGTCCGGCTAAACAAACTTGTATTAAGGGTAAAAGTGAAGGTAATTATAATGGTAGTAGTAGAAGTAAGAAAATAAGAAATATTAAATAAATTTGAAAGAAATTATGTACTATTGATATTCAGATTATTAAAACAAATATGTTTCTCAAATTATATATCATTACAGGGTGTGTCACGTTAAACTCAATGGCCAAATATTGAAAACGAACTGAAAAACAAAAAAAAAACAGTTTTTTATCACATATTTTTAAAGATCGTTAAATTCCAATGGGATAACCGAACGCCTTTTTGGTTCAACAATTTATTGAGGGGTTCTCTAAACACTGATGTCATTTTATTTTTTATTTTATAATAACTAGGTTAATAAGGTTAAAATAATGACAGTTCAAAAAAAAAAAAGTGGCGACATTTTTCACTGTAGCTAATTGGTGATAAAATATATTAACATTCCTGGCAATTTAACCATTATCGCATATAGTAGTATTTACTTTCGTAAAACACCGCAGACGTTTTTGTGATGTGTTTGTGAGTATAAATAAATTGTATTACCTTAGCGTTGACAGAGTTCGTGGATACTATTGATTCAAAAACACATTTTATAGATATTTTATGATTAGAATCATCTGTTGATCTGTTGTCAACGTTGTAAATCATTCGCAGACAATATCATGTTTTATTCCAAGGCCTTGATACTTCGATGTTGATGCATTTTTATTTACACTATCTTCAGCTGATAAACAAAATATATAATGACTATGTAAAATAATTGCGAGTCCATCCAAGTCATACTTGTTTTTCTTTGAACACACTATTTTTTTTACATAATGAAAAAAACCGTTGCAACGAATACTGTACAACTGAAAATAAAATTAATTAGAGTTGGCGTTGCCCGTCAACTTTGGGTGGTATTACTGCTTTATTTTGATGTATATAAATGTCAACATAACTTTATAACTTTTGTCCCTGGCGTCTACATTTTTGAATTAAAAAAAATGAGGCCACCAAATTTGTAAAATACCTCGAGTTTTTTTTCTATAAAATATAGAAAAGTAAAACTTGATAGTTTAATTTTGTTTAAATAATATTATTTTTGTGATAACCTTCTAAAGTGAAAATCAATGGCGTAAATAACACTCCCCCAGCCCCATGAATAAATGCTTTTCGAAAAATCGAAATATTGAGAAACTGAATAATTGAAAAAGTGAAGCATATCGGAATGTCGATAAATCTAGAAATCGAAAAATTAAAAAACTGAAAAATTCTCAAAATTGAAATTTTGAAATTAACAGACGAATCGAAAATTCTAAAAGTCAAAAAAAATTTAAAACCCGAAAAGCTGAGATATCGAGAAATCGAAAATTCGAAAAATTGGAGCATCAAAAATTGAAAAATTTCGAAATAGAAACACCAAAAAAGCATAAAATCGAAAAACTGAAAAATGTAAAATTTAAAAATCGGAAAACGGAAAAATAAAAAAAAACAGAAATCGCGAGATTGAAAACTGGAAACATCGAGAAATCGAAATATGAAATGATCAGAAAATCAAGAAATAAAAATAACCCAAAAGCGGAAAATTTTAAATCCGAAAAATTTAAAATCCGAAAAACCCAACAATTGAAACATTCCCAAAATTGAAATTTCGAAAAATTGATAAATCAAAAACTTGAAAAATTGAAAAATCGGAAATTCGAAAAATTTGATCAATAAAATTTAAAAAATTGAATGGAAACGCCAAAAAACCGTAAAATCGAAAAATTGAAAAATGTAAAATTTAAAAAATCGAAAATCCGAAAAACGGGAAAATAAGAAATCCAGAAATCGAAAAATCTAACATTTAAAAAAGCGATACATTGAAAAATCGAAAAATTTAAGAATCCAAAAATTTTAAAATCGAGAAATTGAAATATTCCAAACTGAAACGAAAAATTGGGAAATCGAAAAAATTAATAATAACCCAAAAGCGGAAAGTTATAAATCCGAAAAATTGTAAAGCCGAAAAATTTTAAATCTAAAAAATTGAAAAACCCAGCAATCGAAAAATTCCCAAAATTGAAATTTTGAAAAATAGACAAATCCAAAACTTGAAAAATTGAAATATGTAAAATTTAAAAATATGGAAAATTCAAAAATCTAAAATTTCAAAAAGCGAAACATTGAAAAATCGATTAATTGAAGAATCAAAAAATTTTAAAATCGAGAAATTAAAATATTCCAGACTGAAATGAAAAATTGGGAAATCGAAACATAAAACGATCAGGAAATCGAGAAATCCAAATAAACCAAAAGCGGAAAATTAAAATTTGAAAAATTGAAAGCCGGTAAAATGAACAATCGAGAAATAGAAAATTTGATAAATAGAAAAACAGAAAACTCGATAAATTTAAAACCGAAATATGAAAAATTCAAAATCTGTAAAACCAAAATATTAAAACCGAGAAGTCAAAAAAAAATCCAAAGATCAAGAAATCGAATCATCAAAAAATTGAAAAACTAAAATTATTAATTTTTTGTAAATAACGCTCCCACAGCCCATGAATAAATGCTTTTCGAAAAATCAAAATATCGAGAATTTGAACAATAATTGAAAAACTGAAGCTTCGGAATGTCGATAAATCTTGAAATCGAAAAATCAAAAAATTTAAAAAATCGAAAAGCCGAAAAATTTAAAATCTAAGAAACTGAAGAATTGAAAAACCCAGAAATTGAAAAAATTTTGAAAAATTGAGAATTCAAAAAATCTAAAAGTTGAAAAAATTTTAAAAACCAAAAAGACGAGATGTCGTGAAATCGAAAATTCGGAAAATTGGAACATTAAAAAATTGAAAAACTGGTAAATGGAAACACCCAAAAAAAAAACGTAAAATCGGAAAACTGGAAAATGTAAAAATTCGCAAAATCGAATCAAAGCAACTAGAAATCGAAAAGTCAAAAATTTTAAAAAGCGAAACATTGAAAAATCGAAAAATTGAAGAATAAAAAAATTTTAAAATCGAGAAATTGGAAAATGCAAAACATCGAGAAATTGAAACATGAAATGAAATCTAAAAAAATCGAAAAATCGGCAGTTGAAGAATAGAAAATTTGATAAGTAGAAAAACTAAAAAATCGATAAATTTAAAACCGAAACATTCAAAACTCGAAAAATCAAAAATTTTAACATGTGAAAAATTGTAAAACCAAAAAATCTAAAACGGAAAATTAAAAAAGTCAAAAGATTAAGAAATCGAATTATCAAAAAAATGAAAACTAAAATTAGAATCCGAAAAATTGAAAAATAGGAAAATGGAACAATTGTAAATTCGAAAAATCTAAAACTGAGATGTCGAAAGATCGAAACGTCAAAAAATTGAAAAATCTAAAATTTAAAACTTGGAAAAATTGAAAAATAGAAAAATCAAAGAACTGAAAAATGGAAAAATCTAAAATTTAAAAAATAAATAAGTATTTATATAAATATGTATCTCAAAACTGAAATTTCGGAAAATGTATAAATCGATGAATCGAAAAATTGAAAAGTCCCAAAACTGAAGCAGCGAAAAAATTAACAATCGAAAAGCTGAAAAATCAAAGAAAAATTGTAAAGTCCCAAAACTGAAACATCGAAAAAATAAACAAACGTAAAGCTGAAAAATAAAAAAATCTGGAAATCAAAATGTCAAGAAAAAATCGAAAATTAGAGACGCCAAAAATAAAAAAATTGAAAAATTGAAGAATCGGTCAACGCAGATATCCGAAAATTAAGAAGTCGAAAAATAAAAAAGTCGAGAAATCGAAAATTTAAAATACCAAGGAATCGAAGAATCGAAAAATCTGAAAACTGAAATGTCGAAAAATTAAGTAATCGAAAAATTGAAAAATCCAATAATTGAGAAATCGACAATTGGAAAATCGAGAAATCGAAAAGCCGAATAATGTAAAAATTGATAAATCGAAAAATTGTTGAACAATTTTGATTTTTTTCCCAAAAATCTCGATGTCTAAGATAAAAATTCAACAAGATTTATATTTTTAAAATTTAAATAATATTTACTGTTGTAAAATTTGGAGATGACATCATTCCATTGTTGATGGGCAATGTTTTAACCTTTTATCATGTATATCTACATGATATTCCTATCATACATAGAAACCTTGATAACAATCGGTACGATAATGTCGGATGTTATTATCTGTGTAATACAAATTGACACAAACTACGCATAGACAGACGGAAACGAGGACCTTTTTTTCGTACTCTAGGAGTCATAAAACGTCGAGAAAACATGAAAGCAACCAGTCACCCGGTGGACTCGATCACAATACTTCTTTCGGGAAGTAAAAATCGAAATATAGATATAATTTGTGCATAAAAAAGAACAGAATATTAGCATTGTAAACTAAAAACTAAAAAATGTCTCTTTTTTTCACTCAGGTAAAGTGTGTGTCCATGAGCTGAGCAAAAACAAAGTAGATGTTTATCAGGTGAAATATAGTTCTCTTAGAATTTGTTTCACAGCGGACTATTAACCAACCCCATTTTTTTCTAATTTAAACAACTTCTTATCTTTACAGTTTCCAAGATTACAATAGTGAAACGATAAAAGTTTATCACCCTGTATATGTAAAACGTGAGACTTACATAATAAGAATTTATTTGTAAAAAAATTGTTAAAACAGTGACGTTTACAGAATTTCAGTATCTTAATTCGTTTTATTCAAGTGTAATTAAGCGCCGTCTAGTCGGCTCTGGAATTATTATTTTTTTAAACTGTGATGGCAGTACTGTTATGTTCCATTGAAGTTAGCTGTCAATTTGACTTTTATATTGTCAGTGTGTTAAAAAAATGCTTGAAACAGAACATACAATTTTTATTATCCAAAGTTATTACCGAACTAGAGTAAAGCAGGAAACATATATACAACTATTTAATGCGATGTATACAGTAGCGGTCATTTCTACGGAACCACTCGATAAAAAGTCAAGTTGATAGCCCTGTCATCTAGTACTTTACGCCGAACGCGGTTGGTAGCGGTAGTTGATATGGCAATCGAAACTAGCACAACACGAATGTTTCGGTTGCCCTCAAATATGCCGCACTGTATTCCGTGCAGACTGTATGTTCTGTTCATCTATTTATTAAAATAAAATATCTACATTAACAATGGGGCCATCTAACCTGTCAAATTTTTGACACATATGTTTTCCCCCAGAAACCCGTCAAGGTCACTTACACCAAACAAATTTTGAAAATTTACACTAGGGAGTGGTTCTATAGAAAAGATCGCGACTTTAGAAGAACTTCGCAAACAATTTTCAGCTGTGACAATGCAGATTTTGCCAACACAATTTAAAAAAATTATAATTCCATGGCTGACTACAGGACTTTTTTTTCGATCATATGGTATATTTTTGGGGACGTTGGGTGACCTGTCATCAAGTTGAGGACAGTAGTACCACCCAAAACTTGACAGGCAACGCCAACTCAAATACATTTTATTTTCGATTGTAGGTATCTTCTTTCAACTTTAATTCATATACAAAATTGTAAAAATATATTAAAAATATTTTAAATCTGAGTTTTTGTTGAATTGTAGTTAAAATGTCAGTAATTTTTAAATAAAAGGTTGATTTTCACCAAAATTGTAAAAAAATTTTGCTTTTTGTCTTTAATAGGTACAAAGGACCTACTTTGTAAAATGACTATGAAAAAAGCCAAAGGCCACACCAGGGAACTTTCAGAAGCGTCCAGTGTTAGCGACGACTCTCACTCATCTGAAGTCGATCGATTGATCAAGCGCATTTCTGAAATGACCGAAATTTTAGAATCCAGGGAATCAAAACTCATCGATATGAACCGAAGAAATGCCGAGTTACAAGAACTGAATACCGATCTAAAGCACCAACTAGATAGCATGCTTACGAAGCAACTGGAATCGGTGGATTTGTCACAAGTCACGGAAGAATACACTCAGAGATTATCAGCTTTAGAAAAAAAGTTTCAGCAAGCTATTAGAGAAAAAGACACTTTAAGAAAGCAACTGGAGCAGAGTAAGCAAGAGGCGGCAACTAGACTGAGTAAGGGCGACTTGGAGACCCTTATGAATGAGAAGGATGAAACGATCAAGGAGTTGCGGGAGGAAGGAGAGAAGTTGTCGAAACAGCAGCTGCAGCATTCTAATATTATTAAGAAGTTGAGGGCCAAGGAGAAGGAGAATGAGTCGACAATCAAACACCTGAAGTGAGTAGCTGCTTGACTTAAATTAAGTATACTTAGTTGAGTCATGTTCTCTTAAGGGAAACCATCGAGGACCTCTCATCCGAAACCGACCGCCTTAAACGCTCCTTAACTGCCAAAGAAGAAGTGGAACGGTCCCAAATAGAAGCCGTACATCAACTAACAGCAAAAAATAAGAAACTCGACACTGAGGTGATCAAGCTACAAAGTCAATTCGACGATTTGACCCAGAAGTACGACACTGTGAAAAAGTCACTCGACGCGGCGAAAAAGGAATTAGTCGATAAGAATAAAACCAGTTCTGAGTTAATCGCAAGAGAACACAAACTTGAAAGTTTGGAGAACGAAAAAAGACAAACTGAGTCACAAAACGCAGCGGTAAGATTCGTATAACGAAAAGTAGCGGCTTTAGGATCATGTTATTGTCTTGCAGATAATAAGCGAGTTAGAAGAACTGCGTTCCAAAATGCGTCAGCTTGATTTAGACTACGCGAAAAAGGAGCAGTTTTTACGGAAAGAAAATAACGAGCTGCTGAGGCGACTGGAAGATGCTGAGGCGCGAAACGAGGAGCTGTCGCAGTCGATTCTGGAAGTTAGCAAGCCCTTGGTTAGACAATTGGAGTCGTTGCAGGCAACGCATACCATAAAAATTTCAAATTTTGAGAAGATTGAGCAGGAACTAACTCTGAAAATCAGTATGTCGGGTTTGAGTGTCAACATATTTGTATAATTTTCTTTGTAGATGATTTGCAGAGCCGGTTGCAAACGTCACAAAACACCGAAAGAGTAGTCAAAGACGAAGCGGTTAGTTTAAGATCAAAATTATCTGACGTGGAGTCTGAAATGGGTTCTTTGCGGCATGAAAACGAAATGGTAAAAATGCAGTTAGAACAGTATAAAACCGAAAAACAAATAGAAGAACAGGACTTGAAAAGGTAAAAATGGATTACTTTGTGCGTAAATAACACATTATATTGCAGCCAAATCGACGACTTGCACCAGAGACTGAAAACTGAAAAATCAAAAGTGGAAGATTTAATTAAAGATGCTTCAAGTTTGCAAGAACAACTAGCTCTCGAAAAATCAACGAACGAATCAGAACGGAAGAAAAGTACTCAAGAACCACCAAATTTGGAACGAAATTCGCCCCGTACTGGTAGTAATTCGCCAACGTTAAGTCTCGGGAAAGTGTCAGTAGCTGAATCTCTTGGAAGTTCTTTCTGGTCACAGGTAAACTATAGCTTGTCACGTAGCGAACGAAGCTAATTTTTCCTATTAGGATGAAACCCTCGACATGGGACAGGCGCCCAGATACACCAACATGTTCGAAATGCAGATGCTTCAAACAAATTTGAAACAACGCGATGGGGAAGTGCAGCAACTACAGTGGGAGCTAAATCGACGCGAACAAGAACGGTCGCTATTAAACCAAGAAATCTCCTCACTCCTAACACGAGTGGAAGATCTTGAAGCAAAAACTCAAGACCATGATATTCTAAAAACCCAACAGGTGGAATTGCAACAGCAGTATGACACCTTGTGCCAACTGTATGGCGAAAAAGTCGAAGAAAATGAAGAACTAAAGCTAGATTTGCAAGACGTTAAAGAAATGTACAAAAGTCAAATCGATGAGTTATTAAAACAACAAAAACAAAATTTATAGGTTATGTAATTTATTCAGCTTGTACAGTAAAGTTGCTTTTATAAGAATTTTTATGACTAGGGAAGAGATTGAAGTGTTTGTTGTTTTATTGTGTTTTGTGATACAGGATTTTTACTTTAACAGTTAGCGGGTGCTGATAGATTGCTGTTTATCTTGATTAAAGTATATTGCACTTAAAATTTAACCTGTGATATGATTATTAGTTCGTTTGGAAATTATTGTACAGATTCCATCTTGTAATAAATGTTGTTAAGGTACGGTGGTGTTTTCTTTACAAAATAAAAGTTTTTGTAAATCGATACGTTTTTGGAATATAACCTCAAATTTTCCCGGGGTTGGTGTATTTAAATTTCGCGCGATAAGAGATTGTGGTGCTAATCACATGTTCGGTCATAAAAATGTCAAGATAACGTTTCCGAAAAATGCATGTGAGAAGAATTGGTTAGAATTGTAGTTGATTTGTGGAAGAAACAAATAATTATTAATTGATGAAATAGTATTAAAGTTATAACTGGTTATTTCACGCGCTTCATCCATAGCTCTAGTGGCGCAATTGGTTAGCGCACGGTACTTATAAGACAGTAGTCGTGAGCGATGCCGGGGTTGTGAGTTCGAGCCTCACCTAGAGCAACTTTTTTTTGTCCAAATTTTAACTTTAACACGTAGTAATTAGCGCAACTATTGCTACTTTTATTGATTCTTCATTAAATTCAAATTAAAAACGGCTATTAAATGGAATTATTTAATTATCACAACATTTAGAAATATTTACAAACATAAATAAACTAAACTACATTGGCAGGTTGACTCATAGGATTAGCTTGAGGTGCCGTATTCTCCCTCGTAACCAGCGATACTGCGCTTTGTAGGACTTGTCTTCGGAAAAAGTCCGACGTAACAGAACCAACACTCTCTTTCGCACCCACTTTACACTTAAAATATCCATACAAATTGGCTCCGCTGAGCACCAATGCAATCATTACGAGCAACTGAAACCCAATCATAAATACCACATAATTAATAAACCCACCCAATTTACCATCCACTTCAAGCTCAACCCAAACAACGCAATTATAAAGAAAACACTCCATAACAACGGCGTCAAAACAAGAGTCGTCCAAAAAATTCTAGATTCTCTTTCGTTCACCCTGCCCTGTAATTGACCCTGAAAGGGCCAAATGATGAATCAGTGAAACATTAAAGCGACAACAAAAAAGCAATAAAATTAACCTTTCGGGATTCAAAAACCCAATGAGACTTCCCGTCATCATCCACGTAGTTCCACCATCGCAAACCCACCATGAGACGACCCGTAATGTTTTTGACGGTCCAGAAATCCATCGAGAGCAGCAAAACAACTGTCACGAAAGTGGAAATGAAACTATCACTGAACAAACGACAAAACAAATAGACGAAAATGGAGGCCCCTCGGAAGGCTAAATGGAAAAAAGTTACGTAGGGGTGCCTGGAAAAAGAACGATTCGGGGGGCTGTCTGAATGGTATGGAATGTTTACTTTAGGGTGTCCTTGGCAGCACCCGTGTCCAAGTCTTCCTCACCGAAGGCGATGGTGTCATCCTCCAGAAGGGGCAACTGCAAGCATTTATTATTTAATTTATTACATCAATTGTGGGCCTTACTGTAGCCGATGACATGTTTATTGACAATAAACCAAACGTCAAAGTTGACGTTTACGTGACACATGTGCGAAACTAGAGCGGGAACAAAATTCCCAACGGAAATCCCCCATTTTTAAAATTAAAATATTAAAATTACGGAATAATTTCGAAATTGAAATTTCTCCGTGTTAGTATAAATACTTTATAAAGAATGCAGGCTGTAAATCACACGATATTTATATTTATTTATAGGAATATCAATTTTTGTGTCATATTACTCGTATTGGGACAAAGTGAAAATCCCTAGACAGGGAGGCAATACGAATTTCCGCAACTTTGTGAAAAAATGGTAAAGTTTTGTTTATGTGTTTTTTATTGTCATTCTTACACTTACAGATATTTTGTTATCATAACTTAATCAGCCCAAACAATTTCCCGATGCAGGCGGGCAACTGACAGGCTTTCTCTTCCATTTCAGTTTCCACTCCGTTGCAGTTGTTCATGCAGTGCCTCCACCGGATTTCCCTGCCTTTTCCGCAGGAGACACTGCACGAAGACCAGTCCGTCCACTTGTTCCATTCGGGGAGAATGGCGCGACTTTTGTGGGCTACGGCCTTGCGGCCCCCTTTGGCCATCGAGTGTTTGTGGGATTTGGTGTCTCGCTTTTGTTCCTTGAGTGGCGCGGCGACCTCTTGGAGTATCGAGGTGAGTACGTTTCTGATTTCGCTTAGGGCTAGCGGCTTCGGTTTACGTTTTTTGTGTAATGTCTTAATGAAAAAAAGTTTTATTAAAAACGTCGTTTTATTGCTTACAAATTCTTACATTATCTTTTGATTGCGGGAAGGCGATTCGTCTGTATCCCTGAAGAGGATAAGCGCTATTTTCGAGAGGAGTTGTTTGGGCACTATGAAAACTTTGTACTAAGAATGTAGCTGATACAATTAAGTATAAGGGGAGTAATTTCATTACACAAGTACAATATTATGACAAATTTAGAATGACATTTTTCGTTCAAATGTTTTATAAAAATGCGTTACACTAACTATTAATTTTGAGATTATTAGGATTGCACATCGGGTACAAAAGGCTATAATTTAAGTTACACAGTTTGCGATGGCAACTTTATTGCTGCGTTTGTGCAGGCCGTATAAAATTGACATCTGAGTGATTGATACATGCGACATACCTAGAATTTTGACTAGTTTTACTAAAAAGTAAGACCGCAGAACTTATCTTCAACTAATCTGAATGTATCAAAGTCCAGTCTTCTCCAGAAAAAGTTCAAATGTCAGTCTTGAAGTGAAGTTTTAGGCCTGAAATAAGAAACTCAGGTATATTAAACACAATCTGTTTAAATTTTTTAATGTTTATTGAATATCCATAAAAATTCTTGAGAAAATATTAATTAATCACAAATAATCGGCGGTCCAGATATAAACAAACTTGAAACCGATTGTCACATTCTAGTAAATCATAATTAACAACACAATCATATTGTCGACGTAGTTTTAACAGCGTTGTAGGCACTTAAAAGGAATGTAAATAAGGTACAAAATCCGTAGAAAATTTTGTTCTTTTCTGGAGATAGAAAAATCTTTATAAATATCTAAAAAAATGCCTCGTGCATTTCGGTTTTTCAAGCACCCTGTAATTTGATTAAAACGAAGAGCCGTACCTACATGATGGCATACAAAAGTTTTGCGCGCTACGCTAGACCAAACAAAAACTTGTGTTAACCATCACTCGACATTCGAAGCCAACTCAGCTTGTTAGGACCACCACCGTGGGTTTTTTTACGATTTTAAAACAGAAAACTGGTGGCGATCTTCAGTCTTTGTCTTACCCACTCGTTCCACTACATGTATAATTTTCCTACATTCTTACATCATATACCTACTTACACAATGAAATGAAATGCGTTTAAACTGAGGAATGGGGGACGATGAATCAGAAACGATTCATGGAAAAAACACAACTTTGGCATAAATCGTTTCGGTGTTGTTGCTAAATGATTTTTAATGTTTTCACTGAATGTTAATAAATTAGTAACTGAAGCCAAGAATGTGATGTAATGACTACAGAAAAAAGCTAGGAAGGAAATCACATCATGATGTGGTAACATTAAAAATATTTACTTCCAACAACATGAGTGGCTGAAATATTCACTGGTAAATAAATACAAAAATCGATACATACTTAAAACATAAAAATAGACAATATTTTGATATGTAATTGAAACTTTTACGATATATCTCCAAAGAATTTCGTCTCTCATTACAAGTTTTAAATAAAGTTTATCAGTGCTACCAAAAACATTTGTGAATAATATACATAAAATTTAAAAACTATAACGTTTAATTGGGTACGTGATCAGTAACTATTCAAACATCTCTCACCGGCTTAACACACACGTCTTATTCTTTTTGTTTAATCTTTAAAGTAAAGATAGGCAATGAGGCCCCCTCCCAAAATAACAGTGCCCGCTATAAATAAAGGTTTGTATAGAGACCTCTTCAATTGTGTCCATTGCTCGTTGGCTTGTTGCCTTCGTTTCATGTCTCGCACTTGGGCTTCCAGCTTTTCTCTGTTTTCCATCCGTTTACGATGCCTTAACTCTGACGGTGTTATGCTAAAACGAACACACAATATCGTATTAACCATTTTCGACAAATTCGGAAAAAATACCTGTCGGAACTCAGCAGTTCGGAAGGCGGACTTATCGAATCGTCCAGTTCTTCATCGCTGGTTCCTTCATCTTCGTCTTCGTCTTCTTCATCTCCGGGCACTACGGGCAGTGGACCAGTTGGAATGTACTAGACAAAAAAGAATTAATCAAAGACGATGATACAATTTTCTAGTTACCGTGTCATAGTATTTAGGTAGTACGATACTTTCGTTTGAATCAGCAAATGATATATCACGGATGCAACGTACAAGCAAAGTTGGTGCTTCGTCACGTAAAAATTTTGACATTTCGATAAATGCGAAAGCGTCAGTGGGGCAAAGTCATTTATTTTGAGAATGTAACGCAAATGAGAAATGAAAAAGGGGGTTATTTCAGATGGTTTTCATAGTGTCAGTGTGACAAGCGACTGGTCAACACCCAATTTTTTGACACTTTTTTAAAACTTTTAAACGTATTCCAAAGCAACCTACTGCAAAGGGTGGCATTTTAACAAATTTCTAACCAAATGATAATCCCAGTGTGAAAAATTTCAATATAAATACAACATATCTACTACATACCAAGACTTTCCTTTTGTATGTAGAAGTAGAAGCGCCTTTATACATCACAAGTAACTGATGATTTTGTTTTTGAACAAAAAATGTGTAATTCCCCAATTGATGGGACTTGTTTACAAGATGCACATTTTAAAATTTGCAATTTGCTGACTTACGGAATTCAAATGTTTCAGTGCTACTGATTAAATCAAATTAAGATAATTAGATGTTTAAATCAACGATAGTGCCATAAGTAAATTTTGTTTAATTTTTGTTTAATTACAGAAAATAAAACGATTTCCTATTTGCATTATTATTTACTAGAACTTAATAAGTAGCCTAAATAAATTAAGTTAGAGGTGGCGTTCCCTGACAAGTTTTGGGTGGTACTACTGATTTTACTGTTTAATTTTTGACACTGATCAGTCGTGCAGTAGTACCAACTCTGCACTTAGCTCACGGCCAACTGCAATTCATGTTATTTTCGACTGCGTAATTAAATTGAAACATCCGACTACTACTAAGAGAACAGATTAATTCGATAAATCGACTAAGTTTATCTTTTAAAATATGCAACATAAAAATAAAGTCGCCATTATCTCTGCAATTTCCGCTCACCCATAATCAAATGAGATAATCAATGAAATAATTTTTTGAACCAACTGGCATAATTAGTTCCAAAAATAAAAAATGTTACTCAAGCACAACTAGGACGTATTTATTTTTCAAAAATTCTGAGGCTTGCGTATGATCTGATTTCGTTCTACCTTAAAGAGATGTAGAACATCATTTTGAATTCAATTTACTCAGCAAAATTGTGGATAACATTACCAAATTTTAGATGCGAAAGATTTTTTTTTAATTAACCATAATTGTAAACCGTATCTCACAGTACACGTTTGTCAAATGGAACCTATTACAACATTTTCTAAGATTACACTCGGGAAGTATTCGTAAAGATATAATTATTTAATAAAAAAAATTCAATATTTTTGTATACCGGGTGCCTACAAAGTGGCGGATTAACTCTCCCCTACACTCTTAACAATCAACTGGTGACTCTGGGAAAAATAGTAAAAAAAATTCCTTCTGACATTTTGGTGGGATTAAAATGATTTTAAAATTGGTTCTTTCGCTACGTTTAACAACTAAACAACACGTTCATTATCACAATAACTAGTAATAAAACTTTTAGTTAATATTTCTGGTGTTTTATTTTCGGTCTGGTGTTTTGTTGCTGGATAAACTTGAAAAAATCTGTTAGTGTTTTACTTTTTACGAATCTGAAAAGTCTAGAGTGCCGCAGTTTTTGGGTACCCATGGTGTATTATTTTGGGAACCCATGAAGATTTTTTTTGTAAATTATTTAAAACAATTTTAGTAGACTTTGGTCTTCTATTTTTGGAAAATTCTGGCCTGACCTGTTTTTGAGTCAATTTTGCGACCCAGACTTTTCTTTGAAAAATTACAATCTTGAGGTTTTAGGTATCCCTGTTTGGAAAGAATTTGAAAGTGCTTTGGAGCCTCTAGTGTCTTTTCTTATAATAATTTAATAATCAGTCTTATCTTAACAGGTTCCAGCCCTGCCCACCCACCCTCTTTTTTTAGAGGGTATGTCATTTTCCAAAATCAGTCTTATCCTAGGCACTAGCTGCTAGGATAATGCTGACTTTTATTAGCAGCCTAGGATAAGACTGATTTTGGCAAATGACATACCCTCTAAGAAAAGAGAGGGTGGGTGCGCGGGGCTAGGATAATGCTGACTTTTATTAGCAGCTACTACCTAGGATAAGACTGATTTTGGCAAATGACATACCCTCTAAGAAAAGAGAGGGTGGGTGGGCGGGGCTAGTAGCTGTTAAGATAACACTGATTTTGGCTAATGAGATACCTTCTAAGAAAACAGAGGATGGGTGGGCGGGGCTAGTACAGTTGCGGCCCCCCAAAAGTGCACGATAATTTTCTCTATTGTAAATCTATCTTCAAATAATGGGCGCTCGAATAAAAAAAATGTCAAATTTGACATTTTGTTTATTCAAAAATGCTGTGCCACTGGTAATAGCCAACCTTCCATTAATTTAAAAATTCAAAAAATTTCATGACAACGAAAAATCGTGCACTTTTGGGGGGCCGCAACTGTACTTATTAGGATAAGACTGACTTTGGCAAATAAGATTCCTCTAAGAAAACAGAGGGTGGGGTGGGGGGGGTTAGTACCTGCTAAAATATTATCGATTTTGCCAAAGGACATACCCTCTAAAAGTGTGTTTACACTACATGATTTGTCATATGACTTTTGCTAAGATAAATGTATGGAAAGTTCAATAATTTCAAGGAATCACACCATTAAAAGATTTTCGGTTTAGACTACTATTATTTCTCTCATGATTTACCGTTAAGTGAAAATGTACGAGTGAATTGAAATTATCAAATGTAGAAAACCTAACCTAAAAATTGAAGGAAGCAAAACACATTTGGCTCTGGAATGCTTTGGAGGTTTTTCTTGTTCCAGTATCAGACGACTGGTCGGTGTGTTATCGTGACAATTAATAATTAAACAATGAATAGTCAACAAGTGTCATAATAAGTAGACTTACTTTTTCCATTATTAATGACAAATATAAATGTATAAATTTTATATTTCAAATTTACTACCGAGAGATCGAAAAAGAAATTAGTCAAAGTTGGCTATGCACGAAAAGCCGTTTGTCTTAGTTTAAAATATTTTTTAATTAAACGTCACGTTGACAAAAGTAATTTGCGATATTATCAAACGAAATTAAAGCTTTTTTGTTAAAATCTTACTTCAGAAATGGGACAAAATTGGAAAACGGTGATTTTGATTCATTTCTATGTGTTTTAAACGTAGGTTTCATAATTCTAATTTTAAAATGTTAATTTGACATTTAAAAAAAAATTTAATTACGAGAAACGGCTTGTCGCGCATGGCCAACTTTGACTAATTTCTTTTTCGATCTCGCGGTATAATACTTGCTATTACAACGTGCTTGGTAAGACAACGAGTGTAACCTAACCTAAGTTTCGACTGTCAAAGACTGAAAAACGCGCGAAAAATTCAAACGAAATCAAACACAAAATTTCTCCAACCGTCCTATTCTTGAAATGAGCTATAATTTGGTTATGACTGCTTTCGTGACTTGCAGTATAATGTGCGAAATCATACAGTGTAAACATGAAAAAAGCCAGTGTACGAAAAGTCATATAAGAAATCATATGACATATTATGTAGCGTAAACACACTTTCAGAAAAGACAGGGTGGGTGGGCGGGGCTAGTACCTGCTAGGATAAGACTGATTTTGGGAAAGGACATAGACTCTAAGAAAAGACAGGGTGGGTGGGCGAGGCTAGTACCTGCTAAAATACGACCTATTTTGACAAATGAGATACCCTCTAAGAAAAGAGAGGGTGGGTGGGCGGGGCTAGGACCTGCTAGGATAAGACTGATTTTGGCAAATGAGATACCTTGTAAGAAAAGAGAGGGCGGGTGGGCGGGACTAGTACCTGATAGGATAAGACTGATTTTGGCAAATGAGATCCCTCTAAGAAAATAGAGGACGGGTGGCGGGATTAGTAGTTGCTAAAATAAAATCGATTTTGGCAAATGAGATACCCTCGAAGAAAAGAGAGGGTGGGTGGGCGAGGCTAGGACCTGCTAGGATAAGACTGATTTTGGCAAATGAGATACCTCTTAAGAGAAGAGAGGGCGGGTGGGTGGGGCTAGTAGCTGCTAAGATAAAACTGATTTTAGCAGGTACTGGCCCTGCCCACCCGCTCTCTATTTTTTAAAGGGTGTTATTTGCCAAAATAGATCTTAGATTAGCAGGTACTAACCCCGCCCATCCCCTCTATTTTCCTAGAAGGATCTCTTTTGCCAAAATCAGGTCAGGACTAGCCCCGCCCACCCGCCCCCTCTTCTCTTAGAGGATATGTCAATTGCCAAAATCAGTCTTCTCCTGGCAGCTACTAGCCCCGCCCACCCACCCTCTCGGTTCTTAGAGGGTATGTCATTTGCCAAAATCGATCTATTTTAGCAGATAGAGTAGAAATTATTTGAAAAGAGCACACCAATAAAGTGGGCGCATAAAACCAACTCTGGTTCGAGTGAATCCACTTTCAAATTTGAGGGGTGCCTTCAGCTGTTTTACAGTGGTGTGCCTGCCGTTGCTGTTTTCGTCCGTATGCGGTGTTTTATGTGTTTTATGATTATTATTTTATATTTTCGGTTTATAAAATCAGTTCTTTTCAGAACTTTTGGAGTTTGAGAAAATATTTGTTTTAAACAATTTATACAAAACAAAAATGAACTTCTTATAAAAAATACATAAATAAAATTCTTCTTTCTCGCATTTACTACTCATCTCTTTGTCATTATAAATACTACAGAACAGTCAATTTAACACTGTTATTCCTAATTATCTGGTGAAAGTCTTGAAATAGCTTAAATTCTCAAAAACTCACGATTTAAAAGTGAGGTTATATCTATAAATTTTATTGAAACGTGCTGTTTTCAAATGATTTCTACTCTACTAACCCTCCACTCGCCCTCTGTTTTCTTAGAGGGATCTCATTGGCTAAAATCAGTCTTATCCTCGCAGGTACTGGCCCCACCCATCCATCCTCTCTTTTCTTAGAAGGTATGTCATTTGTCAAAATCGATCTTATTTTAACAGGTACTAGCCCCGCCCACCCACCCTCTCTTTTCTTAGAGGATATCGCATTTGCCAAAATCAGTCTTATCTTAGCAGCCAATAGCCCCACCCACCCACCCTCTCTTTTCTTAGGCCAAAAATCAGTTTTATCTTAGCAAGTACTGATGACTAACTTTTACAAAAAATGATCAAAATTTGGAAACATTACGATCTTACTTATATGCACAAGGCAGGAATTCTGAACATCTCTAGTTATTCGACCATTTTCCAGACACCTGGTATTACTAAATTCATCCAAAAATTTAGCTATAACCACAGAAAACCAAAAAAATTGTTAGTTATTGCAATAATTTAATGCTTGTTATTAATTTTATGTAATAGGTTTTAATTTTTTTAATTTATTTAGATTTCTGCGCAATAAACTCGACAATTTTTGGGTAAAAAATTTATCTTATTACACAAAAATTTTAATTTTATGATTATTCAATATAAAAATTTGTCATTAATTGAAAAAATCCCTATTTTTTTTTCTATGGTATTTTTCCGTAATTTAATTTTGAATAAACACAAATTAAACAAACAGTCACTTTAAACTATAATATATTGAAAAAGATAAAAAAAGTGCAAAATGTAGTAGAAAAATCTGAATTCCAAATTTACTTCTTGTTAATTTATGGGAATTATTTTAATAACATTTTTACTCTATCAATAATAATTGCTTAAATTACATGGGATTTACAAATAACTGACATTTTATACCGTTTTGTTTGTGATTTGAAATTCGAAATAGTACATATACCTTAATGACAACAACCTAAAAAAATATTAGTTCAGGTTCACATGATTTCTTTATTTCGTTCAGTTGTTTACCATTGGAATTTTAATTAATTTACTATCAATCACATTAATATTTCGCGTCAATTATTATCGCTAAGCGTACGCTCCTCGATATTTCATTAACTCTAGTTCTAGTTTTAATACTAAGAAAAAAGTCCAAGATTAGAGTTGTATGGTTTTTTAAATAGCAAACATTAAAATTATTTTAAAATATAACAAACAACGAAACGAAAATGTGAAAATTTCATATAAAACATAATAATTGACAGAAATGAAGAAAAACAGAAAATTGTGTTGTCTAGCAATGAAAACATACGTGTAATATTTCTTTTTTTAATAATAATAATAAGAAACGCAGGATTACACCCACGAGAACACATTTGAGGTTCGTAAAAATGTGTTCTTATTTGCAACAGTTTAAGTTTGGAAACAAAACGAATCTCTCAGTAATTCACCACCAGTGGATAGAGCCTCTCGCATTTTTAGAATGGACTTTCCCAAAGTGCTAAAACTAGGCGCACTGACGCCTCAATTAACGATAACGCAAAACCGATAAAGTCAATCGACTGAAGCAAAAGCAAGCATATTTTTCAATAAATTTTAATTTTTGTTTTGAAATGATATCCTGCAATTTTGAAAAAATTTAGTTTGCAAAATTTTAATACTCCACTCAGTCTCTCAAAAAGTACAACCGTTGAGACTCATAAATTTTGAAACATCGCATAAAAAGGGTCAACATTTGAACAATTTAAAACATGAATGAATAAAATTATGATCACGGGATATGGCAACGACCACAATTATCTTTTGGTATATTTAATAACTAGTTCAATTGTACGTCTCCGGCTTCAATTAATAGGTTAAGTTATGTCAAAGAACGCCTGATACAAATCACGAAGTTTCCACTTTCAGCATTTAGCATTGTTATTTATACCCACTACGTGTAATTGTTCCGCATAAAGAAACAAACAACAAAGAAAGAAAAGAGAAAACACACGCGCTACATAGATAAATTTAGTGATTTTGCCAGATGCGCGCGCATTCTTGCCTTAATTATTTAGAAAATTCAGCGAATTTGTGGCGCAAAAACACCAAATGCGCGCGCAACCGATAAGTCACATGCTACTAAAAACTGACTTACTTCATCGCCGTCGCCTTCATAATGAAAATCATTACACGACACACTATTCGGAATATTCGGAAGTGGCCTATCTACAGGTGTGCCATTTGGTTTCTTTAGACTGTCTAACCTAGGCGGAGGGAGAGGAGGAGGTCCATCGTCATCTGAATCAGATGCGACATCGTCATCTCCTACTTCATTAATAATCGGATCGGGAGGTGAAATTACGTGATTTTCCTAATAAACAAAATAAGAGGCTGTTTTTCACATTACAATAATTTATCGACATGAATGATTTCTTGTGCGGGATTAGGGTTATAAGGGTGGGGACTTCAGGACGTCGTCTACAAACGCAAGAGGATTCCTGCAATGAGCACGTGACAAAAATCAAAGAATGACATACCACTGGACTGGAATTTGGACTGAGTTGTTGTTGTGCACCTTCGATGATTGCTTGGTATGAAAATCTTAGTTGCTCGGGCGTTTGGATAAGACCCATTCGATAACGTCGCATTTCGTATAAAATTTCTTTTACGTCTATGGAGTTGATGCCAAATTTTTCAATCTGAAAGAACGAAAATCACAATAAATCGGAATTTTTTGGTTCATTGGATGAGAGTTAACATTTTTATTACACATTTAAAAATACCTAAACACCTATTTATAGCAATATTCAGTTTTAAATGTTTACGGGACTTATACACAAAAATATTTATTCATCAATTACGTACTAAAAAAAGAAAAATAAATAAACAAAATCGAGAAAAACAGCCAACAGGTTCAATGATTTTTCCAATAAGATGCATTCTAAGAACGAATAAATTTATTATTAATTCTATTTATTAATATTTCATTTAAAACTTCGATATATATATTTTTCTAAATATATATTAATTACTGTTATCATTAATTTACTTATTGTGAAGTATTTAAAACTGGTCTGAGAATAGAAGAACACAGCTAGCGAATTAACGTTATTGGATCTAAAGAGGACAGAGACATATCTCTGTTCTTCATAACAATCATCACTAGTATCCAATCAACGACTTTTACAGTGGATTGACGAGTAACAAACTTAGTAAATAAAGTACTATTGAGCGATAATCAAATTAAAACAATGATTGCACAGCTAATAAAAGTCGTGATTCTTATGGTAAAGACTATTAAGACCATTATGGTTAAGCGTAGATGGAGTAACTGCAGTGATGGAAAAACGTCACAGTACCATAAAACGAAAAAAAAGAAGGCGAATAATGAGAAACATCTGCATCAATTACGGGCTTAGAGACCCTAGTTAGTCACTAATCTGCAATAATATTGCTTAGGATGTATTGATTGGTAATTAAATATTTTTACACTGTACTTAGCCAAGCCAATATAAACATCAAATTACAATTTAAGAATTCCAGTTAATAAACTATAATAAACGAAACGTTTTACAAAAAAATGAAACAATTATCTGTAAAATAATCAAACTTAAGTTTTATGATCTGCAACTATTTGAGTTATACAATTTTTTTTGTCTCCGTCGCTTTGAAAATCTCGACGTTTTTATTATCAAGTTTTTATTTTTAATGACGAACTTAATAAAATTTGATAAAAAAAATAAACATTAAGGTGTACTCTACAATATTCACTTTTAGTTAATATTAATTAAATTTTCGTAAACACTTCACTTTTATTATAATATATGTAGATTAAGCTAAAAAAACGAAACAAATATTTGAAATTTTTAGTCATCAAAATTCTTTCCTAAATATAGCAATAACTTGTAACGCTTTGTTTGCCATGTAAAATTATCACAATAGGTATCAACAATTCCCACTGACCCCTCTTCCGTTAATTTACGTTTATGCCACTTATCTCCTTCTAAGAAATGCTTATCAAACCCCCTACTTTTTTACTTACAAGAACTAAACACGAATCAACCAGGCAAAAAGTCCCCGATCTGCCAATCCCAGCTGAGCAGTGCACCACCGCGGGCCCCACGTCCGCCTCCAGCACTCCAGCATCCCTAACCTTCCTCAGGAACTCTAAAAACGCCGTCGGCGAGCTTGGCACTCCGAAATCGGGCCACGTTGTGTAATGAAATTGTAAAATATCCCGGGACTCCCTCGTCTTCATGTCCGTCAGCCTCAATACTCTTTGTAAATAATACGAGTGGTCTTCCTGCTTGATGTATTGCAGCGACAGCCCCACGTCGTCGAACGTCATGAGGTAGTCGTCCCCCAGCTTCGACGGCCAGTACTGGAAACACTTCTCCTGTTTCTTCTCGACGAGTTTGTTCAGCATCAGCACGGCTTTGCTCTGCTGCTCCCACACCATGGCCCAGAAGTGGCTCACGGTGTTGATGAGGGGGCCCTGCGTGAGGATGTACTTCCGATTTGCCTTTTCCACTTTTATCAGGTTGGCGTTGATGTAGTCCACCCGTCCCCGCGTTAACACGATCCGGCTGTGGTCGAAGGGGCTCACATCTCTGTATCTGTTGAGGTTTTTGTTCTGCGGCTTGACGGCTTCGAGGAATCCGCAGGTGTTCTTGGCGCTTTCGGAGCGGATTTTCTGGGGGGAAAAGGGGTTTAAGCGTGATTGTGGCGGAATATTTCAGTGATTGGTTCTCTTTAATTACTTAATTGTTGGTCATTTAGCTGTGAAGCCTTATGACTCACGACTGGGAAATTCTCAAGAACTGCGTACGTCTTAGGTGTACGTAACGCGAGTTTTGTTTCACCTTCGGTTTTTTTTTTATTGTTCAAAAGTAAAAATGTAAGAATTAGACCATGAAATACCTGAAAAAGTGCCGACCATTCATTCTTCTCGTTCAGACGGCGGAATTCGCTTTCGATGTTGTTTCCCGTTGACATTTTACAATTTTAGGTTCCTACGGTTTGAATATTACTAACGAACACTTTAAATAACCGGCATTTGGGATTAAATTTTGCGAAAAAAATTAGACAAACTTACTGCTTCAGCTATTGTAAACGTTGGTTCACCATTTTTAGAAAGAGACGGATGTTGCGACATCACAATGGAATGAAAGAGGAGGGACAAACTTCAACTTTCTCGGAAAACAGTTGTCAACATTTAATCGTCGGTAAAGGGGAGCCCTGCAAAAACGGTCGTGATGTATAAATGGTTGCCTAAGCAGGTTCCGAATTTTTTTATCAGTTAATTGTATTTATCCAAATTAAATAAATTATAATCACATTAATATATTTTTAGAAGATCCTCAGTAGATTATCATTCCAATGTTATACGATAAGACAGCGAAACAATAAGACTCAAGTGCCTTATACAGATATAAATTATATTTCCTCAAACCCATTAGAATCTATCAGAGCTTTACCTGCCAATATTTACCACTCTATAGACTGAATACAATACTGTCTATTTATATTGTATTTAATCAATATCCGTGCCAAATCCAGATGACATGCAAATATTTCGAATATGTATACAGTGGAACCCACGTTGTGAAAACGTAACCAGCATAGATTAATATAGATGCGACATACAGTCTGATTTTGCAAAACCACCCTTATTGACATTGGAGTCCTTAACCGCCAAAGGCAAGCACCAAATTTAAATAGTCGATGCCAATAAAAAAACTTGTTTCACTACAACTCGTCGCCTGAGAACTTGTTTGATCTACAGACCAGAGCGCGCTCAGGCCAATGTCGACTCTAAGCGTTCAGAAGCGATTTGGTTGGTTTGGACTATAATTTATGCGGGAAATAGTCGTTTGGTCGGTTTTTATAACGACTAGGTGAATATTTTTACATATTTTGTTTAACTAAGAATTAATTCTTTATTTGTGTTTTATACTAGCAAAACGTCTTAAACTAAAGAATATTGTTGAAATCGTAATCCCAATGGATTTTTCTCGGGAAAATGTTTTGGAAACACTGTGTTCTATTTTGTAAGAATTTTTAAATGTTTTTAAAGACAATTTTTGTGGTTGTGTTCGATACACTATGATATTATTAACAGGGAGAAAAAAAAATTAAAAATTAAAATAATCGAAAATTCGAAACATTGAAAAATCGAAATATCGAAGTACTGAAAATCGAAAAAATGCAAAATTCAAAAATCTAAAATTTAAAACCGAATAACGAAAAATCCAGAAATCGAAACTCCCAAATTTAAAAAATCGGATAACTGAAAAATCGAAAGATCGAAAAATTGGAAAATCGAAAAACCGAGAAATCGAAAAATCAAAAGATCAAGAAATCGTGGAGTCGAAAAGTCGAAGAATTGAAAAACCGAAATAGGCCAAAATCGAAAAATCGAAAAGTTAAAAATTGAACAATTTATAAATTGACAATCAAAATATCGGAAAATCCAAATCTCGATAAATCGAGAAAGCAAAAAACTTAAAATTCGAAAAATTGAAAAATTGAGAGATTGAAAGATCAAAAGAACGAGAAATCGAAAAGTGATGAAGTCGAAAAATTGAAAAATAGAGAAATCGACAAACAAAAAGATAAAAGATGAAAAATTGGAAAAGTGGAAAAATAAAAAAAACGAAAAAATGGAAAACTGGAAAAAATGAGAAACCGAAATAGATCAAAATAAAAAATCGAAAACCTAAACAATCAAATCTCGATAAATCGGGAATGAAAAATTAGCAAATCGAAAAATTGAAATACAGAACATCTAAAAAAAAAAGGAAGTCGAAAAATCGAAAAAATATTGAAAAATTAAAATATCAAAAGATTGAAAAATCTAAAATTTAAAAATTCAAAAATTGAGAAATCGAAAAAGTAAAAAGGTAGACACATCGAAAAATCCAGAAGTCAAAAATAGAAAAACCGAAGAATTGAAATATTGAAAAATCCTAAAACTGAAAATCTAAAAACTAAAAAATCGAAAATCAAAAAAGTGAAGTCGAAAAATAGAAACCTTAAAAAATCGAAACATTGAAAAATCAAAACCCTGAAAAATCAAAAAATTAAAGAATTGAAGAACAGGAAAATCGAAACACTCGAAGGTCAAGAAATGGGAAAATCAAAACATCGATTAAGTGAAAAATCGAAAAATTGAGAGTTTATAAAAGTCAAATTTGAAAAATTAAAAAATCGAAAATTTGACAAATTGACAATTGAAAAACAGAAAATCTAAAACCGGGAAGTCGAAAAATCAAAAGATTAAGAAATGGCAACATTCGAAAAATTCGAAAACTTGAAAAATTGAAATATCGCAGAACTGAAATGAAAAATCGAGAAATCGAAAAATCTAAAACTTTAAAAATTAAAAAATCTAAAATTTTAAAATCGAAAAATTGAAAAATCGAAAAAGTAAAAAAATCGACACATCGAAAAATCCAGGAGTCAAAAATCGAAAAGTCGAAGAATCAAAATATTGAAAAATCCCAAAACTGAGATATCGACAAAATGAAAAATGAAAGAAAAAATGAAAGAAAAACTGAAAAATGGGAAAACCTGAAAAATCCGAAAACTGAAATATCCAAAAACTGAGAACCTAAAAAGTCAAAAAATTGAGCAATCGAAAAATCCATAAAGTGAAGTCGAAAAATAGAAACCTTAAAGAATAGAAAAATTGAAAAATCAAAAACCTGAAAATCAAAAAATTAAAGAATTGAAGAACAGGAAAATCGAAACATTCGAAGGTCAAGAAATGGGAAAATCAAAACATCAATTAATTGAAAAATCGAAAAATTGAGAGTTTATAAAAGTCAAATTTGAAAAACTAAAAAATCGAAAATTTGACAAAATGACAATTGAAAAACAGAAAATCTAAAACCGGGAAGTCGAAAAATCAAAAGATTAAGAAATGGAAACATTCGAAAAATTCGAAAACTTGAGAAATTGAAATATCGTAGAACTGAAATGAAAAATCGAGAAATCGAAAAATCTAAAGCTTTAAAAATTAAAAAATCTAAAATTTAAAAATCGAAAAAGTAAAAAAATCGACACATCGAAAAATCCACGAGTCAAAAATCGAAAAGTCGAAGAATCAAAATATCGAAAAATCCCAAAACTGAGATATCGAAAAAGTGAAAAATGAAAGAAAAACTGAAAAATAGGAAAACCTGAAAAATCCGAAAACTGAAATATCCAAAAACTGAAAACCTAAAAAATAAAAAAATTGAGCAATCGAAAAATCCATAATAATAAAGTGAAGTCGAAAAATCGAAACCTTAAAAAAACTAAAAAATGAAAAATCAAAAACCTGAAAAATCGAAAAATTAAAGAATTGAACGGGAATATCGAAACCCTCGAAAGTCAAGAAATGGGAAAATCAAAACATCGATTAATTGAAAAATCGAAAAATTAACAGTTTATAAATGTCAAATTTGAAAAATTGAAAAATCGAAAATTTGAAAAAACGACAATTGAAAAACAGAAAATCTAAAACCGGGAAGTCGAAAAATCAATAGATTAAGAAATCGAAACATTTGAAAAATTCGAAAACTTGAAAAACTGAAATATCGAAGAACTGAAATGAAAAATCGAGAAATCGAAAAATCTAAAATTTAAAAATCAGAAAATTGAAAAAACGACAATTGAAAAACAAAATCTAAAACCGGAAAGTCGAAAAATCGAAAGATTAAGAAATCGAAATATTTGAAAAATTGAAATATGGAAGAGCTAAAATGAAAAATCGAAAAACCTAAAATTTTAAATATTAAAAAATTAAAATACCAAAAAATTGAGAAATCTAAAATTTAAAAATCGAAAAAGTAATAAGTCGACACATCGAAAAATCCAAAGTCAAAAATGGAAAAGTCGAAGAACAGCAATTTTGAAAAATCCCAAAACTGAAATATCGAAAAACTGAAAAATGAAAGAAAAACTGACGAATCGAAAAACTGAAAAATCCCAAAACTGACAATCTAAAGAATCGAAAAATTGAAAAATCAAAAATCTGCAAAATCATAAGATCGAAAAATTGAATAATAAGTAAACTGAAAAATCCTAAAACTGAAATGTCGAAAAACTGAGAAATTAAAAAATTGAAGAATTGAGAAATCGAAAAATCAAAAAAGTGAAGTTGAAAAATCGAAACCTAAAAAAATTGAAAAACCAAAAAACCTGAAAAATCAATTAATTGAAAAATCGACAAATACAGAGTTTATAAAAGTTAAAAATTGAAAAATCGAACTATTTAAAAATCGTAAAATTGAAGAGAAAAACTGAAAACTGAGAAATTGAAAAACTGAGAAATTAAGAATTGAATAATAAATAGGAGTAAACTGAAAAGTCCCCAAACTAAAATTTCGAAAAACTGAGAATTCGAAAGTTGAAACAGCAAGAAATTGTGGTCAAAACCGATTAGGATGTGTATCAGAATCAAATCGTTTCCGAACGCTTAGAGTCGACATTGGCCTGAGTGCGCTCTGGACCGCAGATCAAACAAGTTCTCAGACGACGAACTGTAATTCGCGTGACCTGAATTAAAATGAAGGAAACAGTAAGCAGCTTGTAATATTCTGGTAAATCAAGTGTCAATTTGTCGAAAGTAAAACGCGTCGTTAAAAATATTATTACATTTTTTCTAGTTAATTTTATTCCTAGTTAGAAACAAACACTGTTGCCAACATATGTCGAGGAGTCCTCAACCGTCATTTAATTTAAACTATGACGCTTCTCTATGTTCTCTGTAACCAGGGACTAGGGTTACAGTGAAACGTTAACATCAAGCACAATCACTTTAAGTATTATTAATATATCCTCACAAAAAAGTCTGTAAGCAAGATCAATTGCTAGCGGGTTCTGAAGCCACCAAACACAATGCAAATTATATAGAAAAGCAATTGAAAATGTTAGGTAAAATTTTCAACCAGTATAACAGAAAATCTTATTTCTTAATATATGACGTTTTAAACATCAGATACGCCAGAAGTAAATTAATATGACCTACATTTATTTATTATTTTTTAATTTAACATTTCGATATTAATCTGTTACTAATATCACGAAACTAGTAATTACGAACAGTGAACGATCCACTGTAGACAAACTTACATCGCAACAAAATGTTTCCAAAGAGTAAAATGTCCCTCAATAGTCAAAAAAAGATCCCTAGGGAGTGTATAATTTGTGC